CTGTTCCGTTCGATTTACAATGTTTCGGCTTTCAATTTAATAGTAAAGCCACCTAAAATTCCATTTCGAAATACACTTACTGCCAGCTAAACCTTCAAAACAATGAAAATGAAGTTTCGAGTTGTTATTGCTGCTGTTGTTGGGCGGCGGAAATGTAAATGAATCTGATTGTGAGCTTCTACGGGCGAATCGCATATAGTGCATGGCCTCACACACACATACACATACATGTGCCCATGCACACCTGTATGCGAGGCATAAAATTTGATTGTGATTGAAAAGTGTAGCCTACTTTCGGTCCGGCGCATATAAAATGCATGTAATCAAGCGAAATGGCAATGTACTGCCATCGAGGGGCAATCGTGACGGTCGGGACAACCGGGACATACTGCATTTGTGCACGGGTCCTACCACACGGGCCGCTGCTGGTTGCCAGCTAGCCGCGCCCCGCGACCGCCCTCGCCATACTCCAGTTGGCCAGCGCAATAATTGAAATTTGATTTGATTAGTTTGCATTTCTATTTTATGCAGGCTTCAGTTTCGCCTCGCTATTATCTGTGTGTGTAAGCATTACAGCATTAAAATGATATATTAATTTCATTTTTGCGTGCTTAATTACAACGCCTTCGTCAAATCCCTTTATAATTAAGTTCCTTATGAATCGAGCTGAATTGTCTGTCGCCTTTTTTCATTCAACAATTAATGAAAATCGAAGGACGCCAATATAATTGAACTATTTGGTTTTCATAATTGAAATTATACGCAGACAATTCAATAATAATTACCTCGAGACAAAGCGTGACAGAAAGAGAAGAGAGGGAGAGAGAGATGTTCAAGGTGGGAGAAACCGGCCCTGACGTGTCCTGAGCCTTCTGCGGCAGCACTCAGTGGTATGTAAAAAATTTAATTAAGTAACTTATTGTTATTATTTGCATTCCCTTTTGTTGTTGCCTTTGTGGTCTTTGGCCAGCGGCAAGATATTTCACTGCATATTTCTGTCGCTTTTCTTTTGTGCGACGCAATAATTAAATAAATATTTGCACACAGCAAAAACAATACAATAAATAAATAAAAATAATAATACATACAATAATATAAAAAATAACATTTATGATGTTGTCAATATCGAAAAAGAGCAGAAACTCAGCTCTTAATGGCATAGTTGCGGTGGGAGAGATGTGAATTGATGATGGCCACCATATTGATAAACAGTAAATGGAAGATTGGAAAATGATGAAAAATGCGCTGCACTTTCCGCACCTTTTTGTGTGGCCAAGTGGAAAGTGGAAAGAGGAGAGAGCAAAGAGAAAAGAGGAAAGAGGAAAAAGGAAAAAAGAAAAGAAGAAAACGCACAAAGATTGTCGAAGCATTTTCTTTTATATGAATTATGACATCAGTTTGTGGACACAGCTGGAGGCGCGAACAGGGCGGAAAAGTCAGAGCTGTGAATTAAAATAAAGTAAAAAGAAGATTGACTGTGAGAATGAAAGGCGTGCTGGCTAAGTAATAAATAGTCATCCTGATAGTTTAAGCTTCTTTCGAAATGCAAGTTGAGCAATTTTTAAATCAAACAATAAGAGACGTTGAATATTACCATCAACTGTATTTAAAGTGCAAGCTGTGGAATATTTCAGTTGATATTTTAGTAGCCAACTGCAAAGACATACATTTCTACAAATTATAGACCATTTCATTTTGTAAGGATAACAATGGAAACTTCTTAATATATTCAATCACTTTTATTCGCTGCTTTATCTAACTTGATGTACTTAAAGACAAATACTTCTTATGTAAATATGAGCGAGTGACACGCTCTGGCATAGAGTCTTAAATAAGTTTGACGTACCATTTCTCATTTTTTAAGTTATTCCAATTTCAGTTTCTTTGCTTTGCAACAATTTTCACTTTCCCTGGCATTTTACTTTGTGCTAGATATGCAAATTCCTAAGATACCAAGAGCCGATTCTCATGCCATATACGCACCACTCTCCACGACCAGTGAGATATTCAACATTTCCTATTTTTTCTTTTCACATTTGTGTGTTCCGATACTCTATCTATAGCATAAATACATATCGAATGGGGAAAAAGTGTAAATAATTGAAAATTAGGTCAAAAACTTTGATGTTTATTTGGAAATCCATTTTAATATATCTGAATCTTAGTATTTTAACTTCATCTTAATAATTAAGTTGACAGAGTACTGTATTTATTAGGTATTAAATGAGGAAATCCTAATTGATTCATCCCATGCTAATATAGATTCTCAGAAAAATCATAATATAACTGATATCTATTGACCATATAACATTTGCTTTTTTCAATGCTCTGCTAAGGGACATTGAAGCTTCGGTGCAGATGTGGAATATTCTTTCTTAGCTCCTTTCTTTACCGACAACATAATAATAAGTTTTGCCTTTTCCTCTCACTGGCCCTTCGATGTTGTTATTGCTCTTGTGGTGGTTGTTGTTGTTGTTGTTGTTGTTCTTTGCATTGCGGGAAACACTTTCAAAGGGCAACCTGCATCTGCCATTTGTTGTTGTTGTTGCTATTGTTACTGCTGGTGCTGCTGCTGCTGCTGCTGCTTCTGCGGTATTGAGCGCAAAAGTTTACTGAACGCAGAAAAAAATGTAAAACATATTACGCACTCACACAGACACACTCTGGCAATGGCTATAAGGACGTTCATGTGTGTGCGTGTGTGAATGCGAGTTGTACTATTTACGCCGCCTTCGCTGTCGACTCCTTTGGCGCTTTATGGCGGCGACTGCGACCGTTTGGAGCGTGTCCTTACACACACTTTAAATTATTTATTTTTACACTTTGCTGTTATACATTTAAAGCTGTGTGCGTGAGCATGCCATTGCGCGTATACGTGTGTGTGTGTGTGTGTGCGACTGTGCGTGTATGCGGTGTTGTTTAATACACTTGGCAGGCAACGCTATGCAGGCAGCGGCCTGCTCCAACAACGGCCGGAGAAGACAAAGAACAGGGACCGCTCTTTATATTTGCACAATTTTCCTCTCGTTCTTTCGTTTTCTCATTTACTCAGTTTCGGGCTCTCTTTCACTCTCTCTCTCTCTCGCTCTCTCTCTGTTTCGCTCGGGCTGACTGGCTTTTCTTTTCAAAACTTGTAAATTATTTGCCTTTTGCCTTATTCCTTACACATACGCGCACAAATTGTCTTGAGTTTATGTGTTAAACTTTACATCTCATGTTTGGCCATGGAAGGACTCGCTCTGGGTGCGGGTGGCGAGCCTTGTGTCCTGTTGGCCATAGTAGCATGCGGCCATGTGGGCGTCATTGTATCTGTGGCCTGTGCGCCTGCATGGCATGTAAATGATATCGTTCCTTCTGGCCACGTCCATATCCACATCTACATCTACATCCACGTCCTTGTCGTCCTTGCTCACGTCACCAACGGCGACGTCGCTTTTATTGCTCGCTTTTGTTGAAGCTGCCTGCCTTCTGCCGTTAAACAAATGAACAACATAAATAATTGCAAAGGCTCACACTTACACACACGCACGCACAAACACACACATATATATAATCGCACACGTATGCAAAGTGGGGTAAATCGCAGCATTTGCTGCATACTTAAAGGCGCTGCACGCGCCAACAAATCTGTTGAGCTTGAGCTTTGCCTGCCTCCATTTCGAAGCAAGATTAATGAGCGCTGGAGTAAAAGCTATTCAAAGTCAGCTGCCAATGCAAATTCCCATCTGTGGTATCCAAACATTAGCAACAGCAGAAGCAACTACAACAATTCGTAGCCACACCTAATTACTTATTCGATGCAATCCATAAACGTCGCTTATCAATGAGCCACCTCCGCCAATGCACTGGCCACTCGAATCACTCAACTAATTGCCGCAACATACTCAACAGGCACTAAGCCGTCTCAACAATCCGCTCATCCACCTATAGCAGTTGCTCCTGTCAATGCTGCCACTGCTGTTAATTGTTGTTGCAGCTGTCGTGTCGGATAACAAGTTGCACGCCAGGCCACTTCCGTTACGGCCCTCTAATTGTGGCTAAATGTTTGTATCTGAATATATAAATGGGATTACATTAAGTAGCTTGTTTATCAGCCCTCGTCCACTACAAATATAAACTCAGTGTCCAATAGAGCCATTCAACACCTCAAACTTCGACTATTTAGTACTGTCAAAGCCAAAAGCTGCCTGACTCGCTTCGTATTCTTTATGTAAAATTTTAGATTCAGATAGAATATCAAAGAATTCTTATAGACCCGTTCTTGTTAGAAAGTGACATTTATAGAAATTCTCACAATCTGTGGCAAAGAAAAGCAACGCATCAACAGACATTCGTAAACATATCAGCATGACAAAACAAACAATTTAGACAGCTCACTCGATAACTTTAATTTGAATTTATTTATTTATAGAAACTTCTGGGAAATGCTGTTTAAACAGGTTTTCTCAATAAAACTGAGGCATTGCGATAGATTCAAGTTGTTGCCCTTACAGCTTACAAAAAACGTTCACTGTCACATGCTCATGGGCACACGGCATAGGCAAATAATTATTTTTAATATATATATATATATATATGTTTGCTTAACTATTATTCATTTTTTGAATTTTGTCACTTATTGTGCTTTTTTGTGCGAGTAACATTTTAAATGATTGCGGACTCATAATGAATTACTATAAATTTCATTTGGTATTCGTATTCCCCCTTGGTTCACTAACGCTTACCGCCGTTTCTGTTTTGTTTCTTCACTTTCGTACCTATTCCCACTACAACAACACAGTCGGCTCCGGTCTAGCAGGTTTCTTCTACTTTGTTTTAGTCAGCAATGCACTAGCCACGCTATCGTGTGCCCAGCATTCACTTGTGCTTTTGTCGCTCTTTCTCTTTCTTCTTTTTCTCTCACAGCGAGTCGCGTGCTCTCTTTTGTGACTGATCTGCCACGCTCACGTTCAGCGTCTGTCGCATCGATAAGGCCGCCGCCGCCACAGTCTGATCGTGAACTTCACTGCTGTCGCGCGTTGCGTTACGTGGCTCCGTCGAAAAATAGCAAAACAGAGCTGTGAGTTGGCTCTATAAAAGTCGCTGATTGTGGATCGTTTTATTTTTCTTGTTATCAACGTGTTTAAAAACCTTTACAGCCCCAAATTTGGGTCTCGAGTGTGCTATAAACTATAATTAAGTACGTGCGATTGCCTCGAAGCCGTTCCGCACTCGCAGTCGCGTTCAACGCACCCATTTAAATCAATCCAAATTGCCACACTGGTTTCTGTATCGTCATCATTTTGTTTGCTTTTGTTAAAAAAAAAAAAAACAAAAATAAATATAAATGCATGCAAGGTTGGACTTAATATTTCGATAACATTAATCTTGTTTCATTCGCTTTCATTCTCTCGCTGCCGCTGCTCTCCTGCTCTTGCTTTACCTAGCCTGCTGTTCGCCTCACCCCCTTCATTGGCTAGGTACATGTCCCAAGACCAGAGCGCAACATCAGAATACATGACATGATAAAGCAATAAAGCGAAAATTGCAACAAGTTTTCGCCGATGCGATACGTTTGACGGCTTTCAGCGCAGTTTGCACTGCTTGTCGCTTAAAAACAATTCGATTTAAAATTAATTTTAAACAAAATAAAATACACATACAGCGCACGCACGTGTGACAAGCAACAGCAGCAACAACCTCAACTCAATTAAAACGTTCGCCGAAATGCAAAAACAAGATGCAAAAAGTATATACATAAATTTTTAAATATATATGAACGTGTATATATATATATAAACATGCATGGAATCAAGCAGCAATAACAATACAAATGATGCTGCTTACCATTCAATAAACATTTTCCAGTTTTTATACCCACATATACACATATATTATATATTTTTACACGACTCTCAATTTATTTATTGTGATTATATTGTTATTTATTAACATCTGCTGTAGTTGTTGTTGGTGTTGCTATATTTTTTGTTGGCTGTATATTTTCCCTTTTACTTATTTTTGCTGTATTTATTGAATGTTTTTCATCTATTTGCAATATTTGCTGCATTTGGTGTTACTGCCAATTTGCTGTTTATGATTTTTATAGCACTTCCACGCGACTAAACACATTCCATAAAATTCATACGTAAATCTATTACGAAGCAATCGTAATGCCTTCAACTGTACCATTGTTCACTTGCCTTTATTAAATGACTTTTTATGGCAAGCTCTAAATATTTGACTGAGAAGCACGTGAAAATGAATAAGAAGAAAAAACACAATTCTATATATATGTAGACAGAAATAAATAAACGCTTCTTAATTGGCCTCAGATAAACTTCAAATCGTGAGTGTATTATTCTGAGCACATGATTGATGTAAAATACAAGTGAAAAGCTAAAGCTAGAAGGAAATATATAAATAACTTTTGGAATTCCTTTAACATTGAACAAAAACTAAAATGTATAATAAAAGCTTCCTTCACTATCTTTTATATTTAATGAACGTGGAGAAGGCCTCTTTTTAACTTCATACCCTTAGTAGTGGTAACTGAAAGGACGATTTCCGAATTACACAAATATATAACGAAACAACTAAGAACAGCGCAGTTGTGGTGCAGCTAAATCCGCTTTAAGTAGGTTATCTATTCCAAACTGCAATTCTCAAATATTTGGAATGATTTCGTTTTTGGTGGTATTCCCCGGCTTTTTCGTACATAGTCAGCGAATAAGGGAAAAGTCTGCACCTTATAAGATGAGCATAACAACGAGTATATAATCCAAATGTGAAGTCTCAAGTTTCAATATTAACAAGATGAAAGCAATTAGTACAAGTATGAAAATAATTAGTACAAAAAGAAAGACAGTCACAACACCCACAACAAATGACGTAATTGGAAAGCAACGGTAAAAATGATTGCTTTACTGAAGAAATATTTTATTATGAGAGCTTAAGTCTTGGCTATCGGTATAAACAATGACAATTTAGCGTCTTGAACTGTAATCGACAACTTGATTGTAACGGAATGCAAGACGTTTTATCTAAAGTTTTTTCTTTGGGTTGGGGTTTAAGCTATCCTCATAATCCACTTACAATCTGTTGTTACTGAACGCGATTGCTGTGTTCGAAAGACGTTATTCCGGCTCTACATTAGGCATCTGGATGGGGCTTAGTCTGTTCCTCTTTCGTACGGATGAATGGCGTTTCTTAGTTAAAGCTGTACTAGATTCTTCTGTGTGGCAGACACTACAAATCTTATTTAATAAATTTGTATTCTGAAAGTCTAAAAGAAATTGAAACTGAAAGACGTATTTCGAAGATTGTTATATATTCCAAAATTATATTGCTCAACGTGTTCAGTAGCTTAAACTATCGAAACGCACGCAAGCCAACACATATATATTTTAAGCTTATTTATATAAATAAATATTGTGCAATCCAAGTTGGAAGGTGATTACAATACTCAGCATCTTTTTCAATAATTAAAAAATCTTGATGTCGTTTAAGTGCAACTTTACTTGCAGCTAAACGACTCTAAGCCATATACTCTTTCTTTTAAATAATGTAAATATATATATAAATAAACTAAGGTTAGGAAAGTTCTTAGCTGTTCCATCTTAGCATTTATAAATCGCTTACTAAGCAAATAAAGACGAATGAAAATAAGACAATAAAGCCTAAAAGTGTATGTAGCTTTAAATTAATGTTGCTTGCAATCTAATCGCAAACACAACTATAAGAGACGACAATTCTATTCTTCAATAAAAAATTTAGTCTCATTGAATTGTAAAGCAATTAGGTACGAAGAGCGGTATAGGCAGTCAACAGTTGAACATCCAAGGCTTTGGCGCATTTCAGTAATTGAACTAAAATAGTTACTGCTTAATGGCAATCATTGCTATTAAATATTTTATATTATTTTGATATAATATAGTGTACTTCCTACAATAAAAATACTATCAAAAATATTTTAGAATTTATTATTACCTTTAAATGAACTGGAATACAGAATATTAAATCAAGCAATTGAAAGATAATTAATTCAATTTAAATCTAATTCATTGAAGCTGTTTATGTTTATGTGGTTTGTTGCGACACATTTCGAAAATTTGCATTTGAATACTTTTCCACTTGTCACGCAATTTGAGACACATCAGTAACCATTCTCGTCAATCAACGTAACCCAGCTCGCAAGCCCATACATTACCAAAACCAGCACCACATTAACCAGGCTCCTAATTTATAGCTAATCATCATATACATTTACCTGCAAAGCCTGTCTGCCTGGGATGAAAAGTTTAAGCCGCAGTGTAACTAAATCCCTTGAGAAGGAGGCAAGAGCAAGGGAGCACGCGTCATCCGCTAAAAGTCAAATTAAATATCTATTTTTGGGCCACATGTATAAAAATGTAAATTGCTGGTGGATTGGTTGCAGGAGAGCGAAGGGCGCCTAGTTGAAGGGTGTTTTGGGTTGGCGTTGTTAATTATACCCATGAACTTGATAGTTTCCCATCAAAAGGTAGCAACAGCGACTAATGAAAATTCAAATTAATATGAATATGCAAATGTGAAAATGAGAAAATTTCCCAAAAAGCCGTGCGCATGTGTGTGTGTGTGAGAGTACGTATTTCAGTGCTTTTAATTATTGTTGTTAGTATTTCAGTCGAAATGCCGCAAATTAGTAATGTTGCCGAGTTGTATCAGCTTTTTGCTGCACCGTGCTTATAATTTATTTTGGCTTCCCTCAGTCTTACAGTTCGTAGTTACCAATTAGCATGCGAGCTCCTGATTATGACTTTATGTGGATATGAAAACTAGAAATGGAAATGGAAATGAAAATGGAAATGGAAATGGATTGTGTCATAAAATACATAACTAAGTGTCAATGCGATTGCTTTCTCAGCTGCGAATGAGGCGCAAAATTGAATCTGTGACTGAAATTGTTGCAGTATCAGAGTTGATGCAACATTCATCATGAAGCATGCAGCACTCAGCCAAGCATTATTGTTAGAATGAGTGACGCTTGTGCCCCTAACAGCTCCAGGAGGGTAAGCAACCTGATGCCTGAAACTTGTCTCTGTCGCTGTCGTTGTAGTTGGCGCTGGCGCTGGCTAATGATGCGCATGATGTGCGCCATTGTCATTGTCATCATCTTGGCGGCTGGTGCATGTGGCAGCAGCAGCAACAGCAGGAGCAGCTGCCGCCAGAACGTCAACTTCGTCTTCATCAGTGGCAAGCGCCGGGTGCTGCCTTGTCGACTGTATTGCATATGCAGCATGGCAAGTTGGACGGCCTCCAACCGAGCGCTGCACTGCATGAAATTAATATTAATCGCGGCAATGCATTTAAGCCGCGTTTAGACGATTTGCCAGCCTTATCCTGGCGCTTTTTCATTTCACAGCCTTTGTGCGCGCTTTGTTTATTGTGTGATTTTTATTTATTGTTTTGCGGTCGCGCGGTTATTAAAATGCCGCTGGCAATTTGTAATCATTAGAGCCGCCCGTGGTTGGATTATAGTGGTTCGGTGGTTACGGAAACCCACTCTGCGCCTCCTCTAGGCAATTTGGCGTCGCTTTGTTTCTTTGACTTTGACAGCGACTGTGATTGTGATTATGACTATGGCCGTGGCTGTGGCTATGGCTCTGGCTGTGGCTGCGGCTGACAAAAGTCGCTGACATTTTAGCCAACTAATATCCATGCAGTTATGCAAATCACACAAACAGAGACTAGAGGCGACTGTCTTTTTCACGTCTACCGGCTGCTGCTACTTCAGCCATCAACGTCATCGTCGTTTTTGTTTTTGTTCGTCGTGTTATAGTTGTCGTGGTAAAATTTAAGTGGCCACTTGACTAAATTAATATGACACTGCTGGAAGTGGCCTGCACTTGTCAATGCTAGCCTCGTCGCCCTGCACCACCCATAGCCAGCTGTGCAGCACGGCTGTGTCTTCTGCAACCTCTTCTTATCGTCTTTTGGCTAACAATATGAATAATTATGACGTCAAGCTGTCAGTTGATTTGCATGCTCGACTCTTGTGACTGGTTTCTAGTTACCGAAGACTGCCAAACACTGCCTGCCAATGGCTTAACAGAACACTTTTCAGGCTGACATTTTCAGCAATTGCAACAAAAGTGACCATCGACAAGATGCGCCACAGAATGTGTAATTTGTATTTGAATTTGGAAGAGGGGATTGAATAACGAGCAATGCAAAATATTTCATTTTGCCTATTTCATAAACATTTGCATATTTTTTCAAATCGGAAAATACTCTTTCCTCTCAATTGATTTCATTTTGTAATTATACGAATATGTTAAAGCAGTGCTTGGAAAATGAGTCGTTGATAAACGAAGGCAGATTCAAATCCGATTATTTTTTACCCATTCCTACTTTTATTTATGTAACAACGTACTTCCGTATCAACATGATTATTATGTATAAATAGACAGCTTCATTCTAATAATCATGTTCATAAGAATTAAAATATCACTTCAAACAAAAATGACTTCAAATTCACACATTAAATAATTTTTGTCATCTGTGTCTATTAAGACCATTTCACTAATTTATATGTGGCTAACAGAAAAGCTGCTGCTGCACGTCATGGAATTTGTATTTAACTTTGATGCAAATGAGTAAACAGAAAACTTTTTATTAATACTGCGATCAGGGTATCTCTTAGTCGGGCTTCAGTGTATCTGCTAATCGGGTAACTCGACTAAAGCTTTTTATTGTTTATACTAAATACAAGCTAAAATATTAAAATACCCAGATAAGACAGCTAGACTGGCAACTCCGTCTAGAGTTTCTTTACTTGTTTGTTTTTAAACGTATTTCATAGTTTCATTTTATATTTTAAATATAGTAATATATTTCTAAGAGAACATAAGCTAAATAAAAACATACATACTATTTGCTGTGTGTGTAACCATGTCTTATTTCCCAATGGCTAAGTTAGGTGACGCACACGCTGGCATCTCTAATGACAGCCTACAAGCGAGGATATCACTACCAAGTCAAAATCCAAACTGTTTGCAGGTTGTCGCCTGTTGGTTTTTTTTTAATTTTTTTAGTTTTGCTGGTTTTTTGCTGCAGCATATGTCACACTTGGCTCGCAGTTTGTGGCCAGGCCAGGGCTATGAAAATAACCATAAGGCAATTGCCCAGGTTGCTGCGGCCTTCATGCCAGCCTCCTCTTGTCCTGTTCTCTGTTCAGATCCCCAGACTCCACGCTCAGTGTTTGTGGCACTCATAAGCCTTGAATGCTAAATGTCAAAGTTACTCCTTGGCGTAACATTCGACACATTGGGGCGTTGAGGTGTACATACGTGTGTGTGTGCATGTGTGCATGCGTATGAGTGTTCGTAATGGCTGCCTGACTGACTACAAACTGCCTCCTGCGCCCTACCTTCAGTCCACTGATTTCTGCCCCATCATCCCGTCTGCTTGCCAGCTTGCCTGGTTGCTCTTGGATTACATTACACTAAGTTCTGTGCAAACACAGTTGGCGCAGTTCATTAACATGTTACATGGACATGAAGACCCTGAGCTATAGCACTGCCTGGATTCGGAGTCGCAGTTGGAGTTGGAGTTAGGGTTGGTGTGAGAGTTGAGTTTAGTTCGCTCTACTTTGAACGAGACTCTTTGGGGCTTGTTTGTTTGTGCAAATGTAGGCGTAAGCACAATATGCATGTAAGTCTCTCAATGCCTGCTTGTATCTGTGTGTGTTTGGGTGTGCTCGGGATGTATGCTATATGCCATTTTCTACACACGTTCAACGCCCAAATCGCTCAACGCTGATGCGGAAGTGTTGCCCGGGCGCCCACTTCAAACAACTAGAACGACTCAAAGCTCAAAGCTTCAAATATGGCCACCATATGAATATAAAAATGAATGTATATGAATACTTAGCTGTTTAAGAGTCAGTGCCTGTGTGTGTGGGTGTGGGTGTGTGTGTGTGTGCATGTGGTTGAGGTTTCTGCTTAAGCTGCGTATTAAATGTAAAATATAAATAATTAACAGCACACTGAGAGACCGGAATGAGGCTGTCGAACAAAAGAAGTCTGCGGTTAGCAGTCCTCGTTGCAGTTGCAGTTGACGCCCGACGTGGGACAGTCTTCTCTAATTAGGCGGACTTTGAGTGCAGTCGTGTGGCTAATCAATGAGGACACTGGGAATGGATTGGGGTTTTGCGTTAGACTGAAAGCAATCTGCACAATGCTCCACTTAATTTACAGTTTTAATGCGTTTTCGACTTGTTGTTGGCACAGCAAAGTAGATTTAGCCGAATTCAAGCCGCACACACACAGCCCTAACAGCTAGCCAACAAACAGGCAAATAAGCAAAACATAAAGACAGATGGGCAGACGAGCGGAGAGATAGGCAATGGTAACAAGCGGAGGCTAATTCATTTGTTGGCTTCCGTGCACAAAACCAGCAGCCGTTGCATACTTTGCGGCGCAAACAAAACCAAGGCACCAGAGGCAACCACAGCCATTGCCACAATCGTAGTTGCAGTCGCAGTCGCAGTCGCAGTCGCAGTTGCAGTTGGCGTAACCGTTGCCGCTGCAAGCAGCATCCAGCCCATTCTGTGGTAAATGCAGCACTCGTATGCGGAGCCGCACGTCAATGAGTCCCCAAAACAAAAGCCAAAAACTGCATATATAGACATATACAGACATATATAGTAGTCGTAGCAATACCCTGGTGAGCTCTACTCGGACTATTTGGCCTGGTTGGGCCTGGCCAGAGGCAGGCCAGAGTCTGGCCGTAAAACTCAGAGCAATTCGTTTTAATGAATCCATCCACATGCAGACATGGGCGGTAGTGCAGGCCAGTCAGCTCGTCAGAGCAACTGATTGTATCAACTTCCTAAGTGGATTTTGCAGTCCAACTGGCATTACGCCTCTTGGCCGCAGGTAATTTCGTATGAATGAAAAGCAAAAGTCTGCACAGGCCACATCACAGGCAGAGAGTGACTCTCTCTCTCCCTCTCACTCTCTTTGTCTCTGTCTGTTTTTCTCTCATGATCTTCCCCCTTTCAATCTTTCACCCCCTATTTATTTGTCGCCTGCCGTCTACATTGTTGCAGCTGAGGCAGGTTTGAGGTTACTTATTCATACCATAGCCTATGCATATGAGCAGCTCTCAGCTCTGATTCTGTGACATTTTACGTATATGCTTTTTGGTCGCGAGCTGCTGTGCGCCAGGTCCTGACATTTTGTTTCAATACACATGCATTCAGTCAGCTGCAGCCAGTGGAACAACCACACACTGAGTCAGCTTCGATTCCCAGGACTCGCCAGTTATGATTTTTGTTTTGCTTCCGAATGTTGCTGAAACTTTTCCGACTTTCTTTGTAGCTGTACCAGCGCCACCTACATGCAACCCCATTCCTTTTGCTGTTCAGCGGCGCACTCGTTGCAGCTTTTCACACTCATGAATTTTTAAGCGGTATTTTGCAGTTTTCAGTCTCTAACACCAAGTTCCGGCCAAAGTCGGCGACGTTCTGTTTTCTGTTATTTTCAGCAAGTCGAAATAGTTTTTTATGCAATTTTTATGATTTGACTTGGGAGTTACATTGCCAAATTGCATTAGAATGAAAATTCGAGCTGCATTTCAAATGAGCAGCTCTGAGAAAATTGACAAGTTTTGTTGGTAACAGCAAATGCAGATGCTAAATCTTAATATAATATTTATTTTAATATTAACTTGAACACTTGGATGTTCCTTAATTAAACCAGTACAGCATAGTCGACAGTGTTGCACACGCTATTACAACATTTGATCTGCTATTTGAATGCAGCTGGGCATAAAAATCATTCTTTGGAAGCAACAAACCACGGCAGCTTTACTATCCCAACAGCCAACTCTGAATTAGGGATTTCAACAAAAACTGAATTTCAATTAGTTATTGCGAAATGCCGCATATGAAATTAGTTGTAATGAATATAACTTGCTGCGCACCTACTGGCAGCTGCCCCAGTCAGCTGCTGCTGCTGCTACTGCTGTTGTCTGGCTAATGGAAGCTGGCTATTAGTTTATAAATTACGTAAGCCTTTAGCTGCAGGGACTCTATTTTTTTTCTTTTTTTTTGTAATTTAAAAACGCATTTATAGTGAGCGCATTTCACTTAGTTTTTATGTATTACGTTAAACAGCTTTAGACACTCAACTGGGCTTGAGTTCTTTTTACGAGCATACATTCCGACTCTCACTAACTGCTTATCTTTCTCTCTTACTCTCGTTGCAGCTTTCTGGTGCACAGCAACGACAAACGGCAAAACTAATTTATGGCATTAAAAATGCATATTTTCTAGCAGTGCGTTGCCAGTTTTTATCATTTGCCAAGTGAGAAAGGCGTGTGCTAAGGCAGCAGCAGGCGCTTTCAGTTGCGGCGCCCGAAAGTGTGCAGCGCTCTCTGACTGCGTGTTCGTGTGTGCAAGCGTGTGGTTGTGTGCGTGCGCGTGAGTGTGTCCGTGTCCGTCTCTGTACCAGAGTGTGTGTGTGTGTGTGAGTGCGTGTGCGAGTGTTTGTGTGCAGTTTATGCGATCTGCGAGCAGCTCATGCAGCTAAAATTGGATTCGACTGGCACAAAGGAGCATTAGAGCAACTGAGCCTGAAAATTTCCTCAACCTTTACACCACACGCCCGCTGCTTTAGCTGCTTCTTCGGCATCGTCTTCATCAACATCATTATCATCATCTGCAGCAGCAGCATCGCATGATAATTCACTGCTTTGGCCCCGGACTGGCAACGAAATGGCTTTCCTATGTATAACGGTAAGTACAGTTGACTCTAGTTAAATAAAATAAATCCAAAGTTCTAAAGATTCCAACAAAAATCAAGAGTTATAATATATACCTCTATCAGTCTTATGAATTCAACATAATCAGTATTGTCTAGATACACATGCTGGCTTGATTGTTAAATTCCAACTCAAAACTGTTTCTGTTTTGATCTGTGGAATATTGTGAAAGTTGCTCATGTTTCATATTTTACCTTATACGATGTGATTATGGCCGTAACCAAGCTGCTCCAAGTTATACTGTGAGTTGCTGTTGCTTTTTTATCGTTAAACGTGTCGTATGAGTGATATACACATTTCGCATTAAACACTCTGTCAATATTGCTGGCACTCGGTGACGGGCACTCAAGCAATTTTAATAATGTGCAAAATGTCCGCTCACTCTGGCTAAATTGCCAGATGAAGCGTTAAAGCGATATTTTCAGCGTATTTTTTTGAAAGGAGCGTGCGACTGGTGGCAACGATTGCAGCTGCAGCTGCAACTGCAAGTGCAACTGCAACTGCAACGTTAACCACGTTCTGGCGAGAGCATAATATTAATCATACGCCGCATGTGCTTCAACTTAATGAATGTGATTTTTAAAATTCGTATACATATATAGACGTATGTGGACAAATAAACAGCACTGATAATACGTGTAAGCTTTGCCCAAAAGAAACGAAAACAAGCAAGAGGACTGCAGTGCCAAATGCATTTATGTATGTGCGCGAGTGTGTTTGGGTATGTATTAACAGCTGTCCGCACTTCCAATACGTGGCACGAACCGAGAGGACAGAATAACAACAAGAAATTGCCTGCTAGAACAGATCCAGATCCAGCGCCATCTGCAGACCCAATACGATGACACTGACGGCGTCGATGTCGAAAACCAATTCACTTTTGCCAGCACCAAGCAGTCGAGCCGAGCCATCTTCAGTGCCTGGCTGTCCGTCTAGCTACTCTCTCTGTGTGTGTTTCCATCTGTTTTGATGCTGATTGTCAAGTGTCACCCACAGACACGTGCTTACACTGCATGACTCCTCTTGGATCGTTTTTCTGGCACCCACTTGCAATTGATGTTTGCGCTAGCCAACGAGTTCAACTGCAAAAGCAAACTGTATTAAATTTATACAACACGCGCTTTCTGGCTTAAGCCAACGCAATAATATAGGATTTTGCGGTTTTGCTGGCAATACGGCCGTAGCAGCAGTGACGCATTCAAGTGCATTTGAGCGGCAATCATTTTTGTGGTTAACAAATACAAAAGCCTATTAATGAACACACTGACAACAACAGCAACAAAAAGATGATACACAATAACTAATAGAGCTGTGGTTGCATTCTGTGCAGATGCACTGGTGCACAGGTAAGCAGATGTGCAGGTGCACAGGTGTGCGGATGTACGGAGGCGATTGTGCAGTTGTCTATGTGCGGCTTTTGTTTCACTTAATCAACCATGTTTACTTGACAAGCGCTCAAGGCAAAAGCACCGTGCGCTGTGCGATTTCTTGCAATTGATTACTGAAACACAACTTTTACAAGTGAATATTCAACTCAGAATAAAATACAAATGCAAACTCAGTCCCAGGACAATACAAACTATAAACTATAACCAACTCCTAAAGCCCAGAAGCTCAACTTTCCATTGTAACTAGCTGTTGAAGTGTGTACGAGTGTGTGTGTGGGTGGGTGTGTGTGAGTGAGCAGAGCGCGAGCTAGAGTGTGGCGTTAGTTAATTGAATTTTAAATTATTCTTATCTCAAAAAATGGTTAGTTGCGCTCATGAATAAATCAGTTTTCAATTTTACTTGCTAATTTGATTGGAGACTGCCAGCGAGAGAAATAACGCCCCGGCCAGAGATAGTGCAAGGGTGAGAGAGAAAACAAGCGCGAACTAGAGAATTGTGTGAGTGCATTGCTCAAGTTTTTAGACAAATCAAAAATTAAGCTAATAAAATGAACTGTCAGAAACTGCAGAAGTTAAGTAATGGCTTGTGAGAAAGTTAAAAACTTATTCATGTTAATTTGTAGAACGGGCTAGCATTCTATATCTGACAGCGTGATGAAAGCTTGAATATGAAATGTGAATTGAAAAAAGTTGAAGTTTAGTTTCAATGCTCGAGGCGAATACATTTTACTGAGAGATAACGAGCAGTTGCTTGTCAGTTAAAAACTAAGGGGTTATGTTATTAAAAGCTGACTCCGTTGCAAAATTGCGTTACTTTACCGATTCATATATATTGAAAGCATAAAATCGGGTTGACCCAATATAAATAATACAAATAAGCAGAGTGTAATGCCCGAAAGTATGCAATAAACTATGCGCCCAAGTCATCACAGGCACTCGGACACATTGATTGCATAATATTCAATTATTAAATGTGAGCAGAGAGCCCACGAGGGGTGCAGCAGTTGCCGCTGAGGCCCCTTTCATGGCTGCCCGGCCAAAGGGCGCAAGCAGAGCACTTTTGTCAATGGCCAAGCCTCTAAGTCAGATACATACACTCGCACATAAATGACTTACTGCTCGATGCAGACACACACACAAAGAGAAGAGCTCGGGCGTGCTACTTGCGTCATCAGCATCGTCAGATTTGAAGCTGCTTCCTCAGCGGAGGCCTTGGCATGCAGTCAAAACGCTGGCTTCCATTTTCCACAACTATTTTTCTATGTCAGCTAGCCAGTATGTAAGATGACATATATTTGTGGGTGGCAGGGGGATTGGATAGTGATTAGAAGTAGGGAGTCCAGTCAGGCATGCGAATGGATGCAACTGGGCAGACTGAGGCATAACCCAGACCATTGAATGTCTGTCGTCAAGTTGCTGCAGCAGTAGCAGCAGCTGCGCTGCTGCTGAAGCAAAATAAACAAAAAACTTAACCTCAGCACAAATTTATGCAAATATTTGCATACCACATGTGGAGATTGAGGCAACTCTTCACATCCGAGATGACAGTGACTCGGTCGGAGAGTTGACTTCTATTTGGCCTAGATGGTCTGGTCTGGCTGCATTCATGCGATTGAAGCCGGAAGCCACTGCATGGTCAGCAAAGAACTTAACCAGGTGGCAGCATCCTGCCACAAGCCAGCTTCCAACTATAGCCACGCACAATGCCAGAGCACGGAGTGGAGCTATTGAAGAAATGTTGATGCATGCATGATTTTAATCTGTTAAATGCGAAAATGCTTAAATGCCACTGCGGACTTTTCAGCCATTGGCATTGACTGCAGCTAATGACGCGCAAAATGTTTACAAATCATTTTGTCAATAACGACAACTGGCAAGGGATATACACGCCTGATCCTTCCATAATTTGCCCACATTTCTTACATTCATCGACAGGCGGCCATGAAAAGGTCATTAGTGTGCGACTGTGCTCATGTGTGTGTGTGTGACTGTGGCACAAATGGCCATTCAATATGCCATAGAAAAACATACACACACACACGCACGCAGACATATGATGCTTATAGCTAAAGCCAGCAGCCATAACAGCCACATGCTTTTTTCCACAACATTAACGCAAATTGCAAATAATAAAAATTCAAAATACCGTACGGATAGCTGCACGTGTTGCTGTTGTTGTTGCTGTCCTTGTTGTTAGTGCCTCTACAGTGTGAGTGTGTGCGAGTCTGTGTATGCAGGCTCAAGTGTTGGCCTGCGGAATCCACAGCAAACCACAAAGTGAAGCTGGCTACGGGCACATTTATCGCAGCTAGCGAGGCATTTTTTAAGCCCACCTACAACTCATGTGGTGCTGTACTCTATTGAGGAGTATGCGAGAGCTGGGCCTCGTTTTGATATCTTGATAACACATCTCAATTATAATTCACGCATTTCATTGTTTTACAAAGTTCTCAGTGGGCACTAAATCCCTATGTTAAGGTTTGATTCGTGAACCAGATTTGCACATATATAAATCCTGATTATGATTCTGATTCGATTCTAAGTTGATAACTTACTAATATGAAAAATAATAATATGAAAAAAATAAATTGTGGTTTTGAGCAAAAAACAGAACTTTAGTTAGATAAAGATATATGAGCTATATATAGCTTTATTTATGAGCTATATATATAGCTTTATATATGAGCTATATATATATCTTTATCTAACGAAAGTCTTGTTTTTAGTTCAAAATGATTTATTGAATATGAAATTTATTCATATTAGTAAGTTATATATAAATATATATATATATATATATATATATATATATATATATATATATATATATATATATATATATATATAGCTTTCTTCTAAATATGTTCTATATCTGACCAGCTTGAGTTTTCAAAACTATGCTCAGCTGTTAAAGGAAGAGTATGGAAAATGCTATTTGCTAGAGCATTCCAGTTGAGACATGGATGTTTTTTTTTCATTTCTACAGTTTCTCTTCTGTTGCTGCTCAAGCGAATCAAAATGAAATCTATTTTATGCAAAAGCACGCAGCGTTCTGCAGTCTCAGACCCAGACCCAGACCCAGCCGACCCAAGCCGAGATGCAGATCCCAAACCTGTCCTGGAAGTAAGCCAAAACTAAGATGGAGCCACATATACGGCTGCCTACTTTACGGCGCCCACGTCTCACAATCCATTGCCAAATAAATAGGTGTGTGTGTGTGTGTAGGTGTATTTGCTCACCCAGGCGTTTTCTGGCTAAAAGCTTTACCTATGCATTCATGCATGCGTACCGTGCAGCTGCCACTGGCTCTTGGACTTGCCATACAATTTATGTATGTGCGAAATATGGCGCCGCATTTTAATGTTACCTTTGGCGCTTTGCGGAGCCTTTTGTTGTGCGTGTGTGTGGTTGGGTGTATTTCTGATTTTCTTTTCGTGGTCTCAAATATTGAAATGCATGTCGTGTAACGCTTTAACCTCTTTGAACTCTCTTGCAGCTGGCCACAGTAATGAAATGGCGACCTGTGGTGACATATCGATGATCTCGCCGCCAACGTCTTCCATTTCAAACGATCAAGATCCGTTTGGACAGCTGCCACCGTTACCACCGCCGTTGCGTTCCACTCAAGTGCTTCAGCCATTGAGCGTATTTCCAGGTGCACAAATAACCAATCTCCTATAATTGATCTACTCTCTTTGATTGTCCGTTGTTTGTTGTTGATTGCTCGCATTTTTTGTTATTTCTCTTCATTTTAAATTTGACCTATAGTTTTTATTTCTCTGCATATTTTTATAAACACGAAAATATATTTGATTTGTTCGAGTATTTTATTGCCACTTGAATTGATGTGTAGATTGAACTTTTGATTTTTTGCTAGCATAATTGCCGTTGCATTTTGGACTCTTTTTAATTTGATTTCGAGTCCATCACAGAAATACCTGCCATAGCATACGAGACTACACGTTTTGGCACACACACTTCTATATACCCATACACATAGACACACACACACACGCACACACTCACAGACATACCAAACATGTCACAGCGCGTTACAGTTACACACATTTTTGTTAACTTTGTTTAGCATTTTTCAGCTGCGCCAGCCGCACCCACTCAGGCAATCAATCAATCAATCAAATTCCATAAAAAAAACTACCAACAGTCGTCCATTAATTAAATGTCGCCTTTCTACGCCCTCTATCTGTGCTTGCTCTTTGTATTTTCAACTTTTTGACTACATAAAAAACATTCCATAGAAAAAAAAAAAAATAAAAAATAAACTAAAAACTTTTTCAAGTAGCTGTGCTCTGTTTTGATGATGCTATGTGTTTTTCTTTAAGTTGTTATTTTGAAAAATGTTCATTAGACAAACAAATAAACACATACATACATCAAATGTAATTTGCAGCTGCTTTGTAAACATATTTTGAACGTTTGCCAGCCGTTACTCTTTCCACTTCACTTACCTTAGTGCTGTCCCATAACTGTCAAATAAATAATAAAAAACAAAACAAAATAAACAATCAGAAATGCTAACAAATTCTAACAATCTTGTGCTCTCTTTTCTATTTTTATAACCCGGACAAAACTACAAATCTTGACAAACAATTTACTATTTATATTGAATAATATGCTTTTATGCGTTCATTTGTAGAGTGAGTATAAAAGTGCAACTGCAACAAGAACAAGAACAAAACCAAGTAGGATTAAGAGCTTACTTCTATATATTTATATATATATATGTATATATATATACTTATATAGTATTTTTATTTATATTCTTTTTTAAATGCTTTTAATATGTTTCTGCAAACTCTTTGCTCACTGCCGTTGCTCTATTTAAGATATATTTTTTGAGTGATTTGGTTTTTATTTCTGTTGGTTTCTTAAATCTGTGTTAAGCGTAATCATTAAGTGGTTTTGTTTCAACATAAATCCTTATGAGCCTGCTCGTTATTCTTCTTGTCGTGTATGCCTTGTTCAGTGTCCAATTTGAGCGAAGATTCTTACGATTATGTTTTTGGTGGTCGACGTAAGACTCCGCCCACAACAACGTCAACACAACTTAAGCTGACCTCGCCGCCAGTGCGCTTGCGACCCGAAGGTGCGTATGCAATATGTCTAACTGTTCCACTTCTAAATTCATTGAACATTTCTAAATGTCACTCACAGACGCCTATCGAGGTGAAAATATAAACAACGGCCGTTTCTATCGTCATTCCTTCAGCTACGCCCCCAAACGCCAGCGCCACTCCGGCCGTGATGATCGTGACCGCGAGTCAAGATTGAGATGTCATGGCGAGGATGAGGCAACACTGCGCCAATTGCTGCTCGAGTATGTAGAATGACAGCCAATCAACCAGGCAACTACATTTGCCCGCTCATGCAAATGAAATGAACACAGAATGAACGTGGCGTGGTACTTTGCAACCGCCGCAGCTACACTTTTTTAGCGTGTCGCTTCATTATGCGTCATTTAATTTGCATGCCGCAAATTGTTCGCCGCAAAGTATTGGCATTTAGCTAGACAAATAAACAACAATTATTTAGCAATATGCATATTTAGTTTGTTACCCATAAAGAATATGCCAGTTTTTAGTTTATACATTTAATGGCATGCACAAATAATCATTTCGATTTAATTTATGTATTTGGCTACTCGTGTATTAAAGCCAATGTTTTATTTATAAATCAGCGAACACGCGGAATTATTGCCAGTTTGTTGTGTTTTGTCCTTTAATTGAATGCACAAATAAAGTAATTTTCACAGATTTCGATTTCGATGTCGATTTCGAACTATTTCCCTTTTATTTTTTATTTTAATACAAACAATATTTATTCGATGTTTGGATTTTCGGTCATATATATGTGCAAATATTTAACTATTCTAACTACTTTCCCCCCACACAGATTAGCGCAAATTATGTTCATTTAAGTGTCCAGCGCGTGTCCTTAAAATGTCAATTATTCATTGAGGGCCTCTGTGTTGTGTTGTTTTTGTTGCACAACCTCCCATAAAAAAGTGTAAACAACAAAAAAGCCCCAAATATTAAACAATATTAATAACAACTGCAAGCACATGCGACATTCACCAAAGCTCGGGTTAACAAAAAATTCCACAGCAAAGCAAACAAAGCAAACATGAAAAAATATTAATTAAGCCAAACGTTTTTTGATGCATAACTAAAAAAAACCAAAAAAAAAATCAAAAGAAAGAGAGAGAAAGAGGAAGATTATAAATTGTTAAATAAACGCCGGAGTGTGAACACAAAATAAAAGCCAACAAAATGATGGGCACAATGCCACCCAGGTACATATACAAAGCATTCCAAACTATTAAAATTAATTTTCATAATAATAACAAAGCATAGTCATAATTAACAACGCGAACATTACGCATACGCCATGTATTCCATTTTCTTTTTTGTTTCTTGTTTTTATGTTTTTTTTTTTGTATATGTTTATTTTGCACAGTGCAAATATTTTAAATTAATGCAAATTTATTTCGTAAATGCTCTTATTTTGCCATCTTACTGTTCTCTGTAATTATTATTGAGTGTGTGACTGTGTGTATGTGTGTGCGTATGTGCTGTAAATGGCTAGGAGTTTAAATTTGTATATGTTTAATTAAAAATGTTTAATTCGCTTCAATCGTTTTGCTGCTTTGTTGTTTTGATGTGCGCTGTGTAACAGATTGATTTTATAATGCAAATTAATGCAATAATTAATTTCTTCATACAATATCATTGGAGAGAAAGTATTATTTTATGCAGTTCTATTAAATGCAATCGAGTTTTACTTAATGCAAGCACCAAAAATTATATTATTCGAACTCAAAGTGTTTTAACGAAATTCCGATTCACAATTTATTATTTAATATCGATAGCTGTCATTGAGAATCATGGCACATAACTGTTTAACCGAACATTTCCATTTCAATACATTTCAATTGTGTTCTTGTCATCTACTTTCCCCCACAACAACAACAACAACTGCAACTATTACAACATCAACAACAACAACAAATTACAGAAGCCACACCCAAAGTGGTTTGGTATTTACGCCACTCAATGAGTATGCAACTTCCATTTCCATACTACTACAATCACAAAACTTATATAAATAAATAAATAACTATTTATCTATAACTATACTACTACTACTATCTATACATAACTATACATTATATACCAACTACATTTCTACCCTTCTAAGTAGCAGCTATTTATTTTCTGCTCGACCTTTTGTAATATTAATCTATGCACTCCCATATGGCACTTCATAGACCATTCAATTGATTTGTTAATTATTTCAAATATTTAGCGAGAAACCCAAATACAAAACTCCTGCTCACGAAATTTTGCATGTCAGACAATTAAATTTCAATTAGTATGCCTAAATTTAATTTAGTTGTTATAATGTAATTATCGCCGCTGCAGCCAATCGCATTTTTCAATTGTCAAATGTATGTGATGCGGTTGACACTGTGGCTTGGTGGCACACTGGCCCTAGACACTTGATGCGTATTGTAGGGCACTTGAGAGCAGCCACAACAATCTGTGAACTGAAGCCTCTGTTGCTCTTATTGTGTGATGCGTGTATTTGTGTGTGTGTATGTGTGTATGAATGTGTATGTGTTATGTTCTTTATGACATGCCGAAAAGTGTTCGAGTGCCATTAAGTCACTGTACACACTTAAATGCACACACACACACACACACGCACATACACATACACATGCATACTCGCACACTTAAATCGTCAAGAGCTACAACATTCTCGTCCAATCAGGCAGTTAATCAATACTGGACACTCAGCCCTACTCATTCAGCAATCGACCCCAACTTTGCATGCCAACAAAGCCATAATTATCATTCAACTGTCCTAACCTCTTCAACCTCCCGGCCCCTCATCGGACATGATTTAGCTGCATAAGCTTAAAGCTCATCTCCTTATTCAAATCGCTCTTTAAAATTCACTCAATATTTGCGTAATATTTCGTTTAGCTTGATTATCAGTTCACTAGAATTCTGTTAATTTAATTATATTATTTGCTTTTTTTTATCAAACTGTTTAACTAATTGGCGGAATGGTTCTCTCACCAAAAAAAACATAAAACGAAAAAAATAGATAAATATATGTAAACGATATATTTACAATTAAAGCTGCAACAAATCGAAAAGCTCGTCCAATCAACTATGAATCTGTTTCCATTTGTTGACATATCCATATCACTCCATTGCGACTGCCATACAAATTGGTGCATTATGTTTTCTATATCATGCGTTGTCTCATTTTAGCATAAAATATAAATCGAATTTGATATCTACAAACAAATGTTAATTCATGCAAATTATACAAAACAGAGAACGACAAAAAGAAAGAATTCAAAAAGTAAAAAATTAATCAAATCTAAAATGCAACAAATTCAACGTGAACCCAAATGAAATAAAACAAAATATTTTACTAATTGCAAACAGAATGCCGCAAAAAAAATACAATAATTAAAAATATAATATCAAATTGCGTACATTTGGTGAATGTCCCATATGCCAATTGGTTTTAACAACTTTAATGTGTACAAATATGTATTATAATTCCTGATAATTTATTGCTAGTATTTTGTTTTTCCTTTAAAGCTTCAACTCAACTTTGATTAGTTGCCAATGACTGGGGCTGTCTTGTTAATCCCCTATTCAATTACTGTTGCCTAGGTAGTCGATATTAAGTGACACTCCTTCCGCTCGAATAGCTTATCGAAATGTATAATACCATTTTATACATTGCATTCTCCACAAAGGAAAATATTTTGCAAACGTCAGGCTCACGTATAAATTCGCGAGCACCTTAAATGAATACAAAAGGTAACAGCAGCAGCAGCAGCAGCAGTAGCTGCACCAGCATCAGCAGCAGGAGGAGCAGAAATTGGCACAAATTTTATTAAATGCTCACGTATACAAATCCGTTACACAAAACCGAAAATTCTTGCATCTGACAGGCACACACACACAAACAGTAGCACACACACAGGGAAGGATACATATGTGTATAAATATACGTATGCGTGATACGCATACAGATTCCTATAGAGATTCGGGCATAGCCATAGTGATATAGGATAAAGATATGCATGCCAATACATTTGCACAAGCCACAATTGTTTTCATGGAGAACAATAACTTACACAGGATGCCGCTCGTTCTGGTTCTGGTTCTGGTCTGGCTGTGCTGCTCGTTGCGCTGCAGCTCGTTTGCTGATGTATGCATAAAATAATCCTTTTATGCTCGGCACAACAATGTCCGCGAAATGCAAAACAATAACAATAATAACAACGACAGCAACAACAATAACAAGAGTAGCAACAACTATAACAACAACAACGAAATGACAACATGTTGCGAATAACTCTCGCCTGCTGCCTGCTGCATGCCGCCTGCCGCCTGCCGCCTGCTGCCTGTCGCATAGGCGCATTAACATAATGCGCAGCCAACTCAAGTGCATGGCTTTGCAGAAGACTGGCCGGGGGAAATGGCTGTGGCTGGTCGTGCAGCCTACGTGTGGTATGCGCATTGTGTGCGTCAGTTATCATCGCCCTGCCCCTTACCAATATTTCTCTATGGAGCGTGTGCAACTGTCGCCTATAACTTTTGCCACACTATGTCCTGTTTTGTTTGTTGTTACTGTTTGATTTTGGGCGCCACTCGCGCGTTTTGTTTGCACAACCAACAAAAATCACTTCTCACTTTCAGTCAGAGATACGTACTATGTACATAGAATGCTTTTTGGCTAGCCCCAGCTCCGGCAAGGCAAATGCAAACAGACAAACACCGACACACAAACACATGGATAGTGTGGGCGTTTATTTGTTTGGATGTCGCTGCATGTTGATGAAAATGTAAATTTTATGCATTCCGTAAAGACTAAAAGTCGAATCTAAGCCGGAAAACAGAAGTGATTACTTCACTTGGTATACACTAACACTAACAGTGGTTAACACAACAACGGCAGTATTTATAGCTTGCTTTTGAAGATCCGATTGTGCATAAATTGCAAACATTGCCTATTGTAATTTTAAAGACATCGATCGAATACAAATCAATTTTAAATAGAGGCAAAAAACAGATTTTAAATTATGTTAAGTCTTTCGGTTAAAGGAATATCAGCTAAACGAATACTTTAGGTCTTATTTACAGTATCTCAAGCTTATGCAGCTCTCAAGGCTATTTTATAGTTTAATTCCGTTGTCTTCTAGCTCGACTTAGTTTCCAGTCAGCTCAGCTTTATATAAGCAAGAGCATATTGGACTCAGGGTTGCACGCAGATCGTTTTTCCTTTTAATTTTGAGACTTTTACTGCATAATTCTTGCTTTACCCTAAACGAAAAATGCCAACAATTTACTTTAACTTACTTTTTATGTACTTGGTGGCTTGGCTTTTAAATTGGTGTTGTTGTTGCTCCTTTACTCTCAGTTGCTGCCGCTGTCGCAGTCGCAGTCTCTGTCTCTGTCCCTGTCGCTCTGGAACCGCAACAACACACAAATCCTTTCGTTTACTTAGAGCTCTGCCTGGTTTTGTTGCCTGTATTTTGTTTCTGCTTTCTGTGTTTCTGTTTTGTATTTTGTATTTTAAGTTTTAGTTGCAGCCCAAAGCCATAAAATTTATGTTGCTTCATTCCTCAATAATTGCATAGCTCGGTAAATTTTAATGCAAGCGGTCATAAATAATTTCGTTCTGTGCCTTCGTTTGCTTGACTTGCGCCACAAAATAAATTACGTTGATACACTAAATAACTACGTAGTCTGTAGCATAATAAAAGCCAGAAAGGCATTCGCCAGCTATCGTACAACTAAAGTGCATTTTTGCTTGATATTTTCTTTAACTGTAACAAACACAACTTCTACAACAACAAAAACAACAACTGCGACGAATGTACAAATGAACAACAACAACGTAACGTCTTGGGGCACTTTGCGTGACTTGGCGTCGGCACGTGACGTCACGCAACGCCGTCAATTGAATTGTATGCGCTGCACGCATATGACCCGCACTTGGCCACGGGCACGCCCACCACGCCACACACTCGCGTACACACATACTCACGTGTGCAACGGCCATTTTTTGATGGGGCAAACGTAATTGCAACTGCAATGGGGCCTGCAACGCCGTGGAGCAGTTTGCAAAAGCAAGTTAGCGTGATGAGCATGAATCTATCAGCGAAACTCGATGAGCTGCAGCGAGGCGATCGACACCTGGAGACGACAGTCGCCTTGTGCGAAATCCGCACACAGCTGCAAGAGCTGACCAAGTCCGTGGAGAGCTGCCAAAGTGAGGTATCGGAGGTAAGTAGAGCATACTAGATTAACACCAAATTCAATTGTCTTTAATTCAATGTGCTATTATGTGTGCGCGCGTATGTGTATGTGTGTATAGGTCAAACGTGACATGGTGGCAATCAAACACGAACTGGACACCGTGCAGCAGGTGAAGGAAGAAATTGAGGAGCTGCGCGAATATGTGGACAGACTGGAGGAGCACACGCACAGACGGAAGCTAAGACTTTTAGAACAAGTTTGTAGCTTAAATTATTTGCCATGTTGTGTAATTAAATACTTGAATTTCATTTCTATTCATGTACACCAAACCAAACCAAACCAAACCAAGCCACAACCGAACCAAAACCAAACACCTAAGACAATGCAAAACAAAACAAACACAAACATCGAACAATACGACACAGAAAGGTTGTGCTGCTGATCAAATTTCTTGGCATTCATTTATATATATACATGTACATATATATATTCATTATAAATATTATATGTTTATATATATAAATGAAGCCCAAGTAATTTGATCACATATATATGAATATACATGAGCGCAACTTTCGAATACCCCACATACACAGACGGCTTTCAAATTCACACATTTAACATAGTTAATTTTAATTCTATTATATTTTGTACATTCTTTCGTTTTTAATAAATTTTCGAAAAATATAAACCAAAACTCATTTATTCGTTTTTTATTTGAAAATTATTTTAATTAATTTTTATGAATTCACGGAAATCCTGTTTGCTGGATAAGCAAACTTACACCATTTTCGACCTAATCTGAATATTTTGTTTTGTATTGAAAACAAGTAGCAATTGGCCTCATCTCAAAAATATGATGTAATATTTGATTTCTAATGCACACTTGTTTGCAAAGCGTTTGAGAAAACCCGCACATGCCCAACCAATCATCCCAGATCCCGTCCTTTGGTTTATGAAATCGTGCTTTGCTAATTGTTGATCTGTTTTTGCATAACCTATTACAGGGTCTCACCTTCTTCCTCACCTACTCTATTTTCTCGGCGGTGCTGGGCATGTTGCAATTTGGCTACAACACTGGAGTCATCAATGCGCCCGAAAAAAATATTGAGAACTTTATGAAGGACGTGTACAAGGATCGCTATGGCGAGGACATTAGCGAGGAGTTCATACAACAGCTCTACTCGGTAGCTGTCTCCATATTTGCTATTGGTGGCATGCTCGGTGGTTTCAGTGGTGGTTGGATGGCCAATCGGTTTGGCAGGTTTGTGGCCAAAAACTTCAATCACGCTTCAAGCTTCAATTAATACTTTGATTTACATTTTGTGTACTTACAGAAAAGGCGGTCTATTGTTGAACAATGTGCTTGGTATATCGGGCGCCTGTTTGATGGGTTTTACCAAAGTTAGTCATTCCTATGAAATGTTATTCCTTGGCCGATTTATAATAGGTGTTAATTGCGGTAAGTGACGCCTAATTGGATGTAGACTTCCTTATATAATATATCATATCTGTTTCGCTCCAGGTCTCAATACATCATTGGTGCCAATGTACATCTCTGAAATAGCACCACTGAATCTACGCGGTGGTTTAGGTACTGTTAATCAATTGGCTGTGACTGTAGGTTTACTATTATCCCAGGTGCTGGGCATTGAACAAATCTTAGGCACTAATGATGGCTGGCCCATTCTGCTGGGTCTGGCCATATGTCCAGCAATATTGCAATTAATATTACTGCCAGTTTGTCCCGAATCCCCAAGATACTTGCTCATAACCAAACAATGGGAGGAGGAGGCGCGTAAAGGTAACATCTCACAGCTTGGATTAAAGAGGAACCAAGTAAATTAACTCATTCATTTTGCAGCACTGCGTCGTCTTCGCGCCTCCGGTTCCGTGGATGAGGACATTGAGGAGATGCGTGCCGAGGAGCGCGCTCAACAGGCCGAGAGCCATATATCGACCATGGAGCTAATTTGCTCGTCTACGTTGCGTCCGCCGTTGATCATTGGCATTGTGATGCAACTGAGCCAACAGTTTAGCGGCATCAATGCCGTTTTCTACTACTCCACATCGCTCTTCATGAGCTCTGGACTGACCGAGGAAATCGCCAAGTTTGCCACGATAGGCATCGGCGCCATTATGGTAACAAAGCAGCAGTTAATCTAACTAACACTTTGCAAATTAATACGCATCCTCATTTATAATACAGGTTGTAATGACTTTGGTGTCTATACCGCTAATGGATCGCACTGGTCGCCGTACATTGCACTTGTATGGGCTGGGCGGCATGTTCATCTTCTCGATATTCATAACGATTTCCTTTTTGATTAAGGCAAGTACAAGGGTTACCATTATTCTGCATAACTACTATCTAGAATTTGGTATTTTAAAATGTGGCAATTATTTGCCCGTAGTTGTAAAGTATTTTATTCTTAATGTTAACATACATTGCATATTGCATTTGATTTTGATAATGATTTAAAGACGCTGTCTAAATATTTTACAACTAATGCTACACATTCTATACATATACGTGCGTTTTTATAAATATTTGAATATTGACATAGATATTTTATGCATGAAGTTGTGTAGACCCCCTTTCCCAACCACCCTAGAGTAAAACCGAAAAAAAAAAACAAAAAAAAAAAGCGAAAAGGGCGGGCATGACAGTTGTCCCGCGCGTATATCTATAAATTATTGATGTGAGATATGTATATTTGAATTTATAACAAGTTGAATTTATAGCTGCGCCTCTGCCAGCCATCAATTTGCCATAACCCATACCATCGCATTGCATTTACTACAATACACTTTGTAGAAATACTTTTAAATTAGTGAATATATATTTATTATTATTATTATATTATGTTATTTATGGGCTACCGCTAAGCCACTGCAATTATTAATTTTGTATTAATATATTTTAAAATATGTTTTCAATGTAGCACACAAATCAAGAATGCAAAGCACCCAACAGACACCTTTAAAGCGATTTAATTTTGTTGCATTTTAATAGTGTTTTATCCTGTGAAACAGAGCTAGTTTAAGCTTTAAGGCTGCTTGTACATATTTAGTATTTATAATGCATTCTTAATATATATTTTAAAATAATTTAATCTAATCTAAAACCTGCGTGTTGCTTGTCTTGCACCTAAACTGAACTTTGTTGCTTACCTTACTCAAAAATAGTTTTCCTTTGCGTAGTTTCTGTATTGTTTCATGCCTAGGTTAAGTTGTTGCCTAAATGAGCTGTTGATTTGTTATAGTATTTGACTGAGTCCAGCATGTGGAAGGGCCGTAACCAGCAATTAGAGTTATCCTATGAAAGGCTTAGCTCTAACTGAACGAGTTCAGTTGAACAGCTCATTTAGGCAATTGTCTCGCCCCTTATTTAAAAGCTATTCTCGACTTGGCAGGCTTTTGTCCCCACTCACAGACACCAACTTATTTTAAATTAATTTCTATTATTATTTTGAAATTGAAAAAGAAAAGCAGACACAGTTTCAACTGCAAAGACAATTCACACGATTTGCAAAACAGTTTTTCCGGGCACCAAAATGCAAACAGTTCACAACACAGCCAACCGCAAGCCAGTGTTGGAAAATGTACAAAGCTGTCGCTAAGTTGATTCTAGAGCAGAACACGCGCTGACAAACGCTTCAAAGGCCACTTTCAACACACAAACCTCACACTGTCACACTGTCAAATGTGTCAACACGCCGCTTAATTTATTTAAATAGACTTGAATTAAATCTTAATCTATACAATATTATTTATTTAAGATATACATACTAGTATTTTCCACTACTTGTACTTTAAGCGTTCTCCAAAGGTGTTACAGCAAAAGTATAAAAACTCAAGTGACAGTTTGTGATGCGATGAGAACGATTCAACTCTTTGAGAACCAAGATAGCAACTACTTTTAAAGTATCTTAACTAAGTATATATTCCAATGAACTCTAAGCCCAACTCATGCATATAAGCGTTCAGATTCATATAATGGTAGAGGGATTAACTTAATTAATTTACATTATTCAAATGGATGACTCTATTCCTTGATTTGTTTTGGTTTGTTATCAACGAACAGTTCGTTAAATATAAAACTATATATGTATATATATACTCCATTATATATATACATATGACAAACAAAAAGCCTACAAATCATCGAGAACGCAAGTACTATGCATTTTGTATAGGAGTTTTTTGGTTATGTGCAGGAAATGATCGACTGGATGTCCTACCTATCTGTGGTCGCTACATTGGGCTTTGTTGTGTTCTTTGCCGTGGGACCCGGCTCCATACCCTGGATGATAACGGCGGAGCTCTTCTCCCAAGGACCACGGCCCAGCGCCATGGCCATTGCCGTGCTGGTCAATTGGATGGCCAACTTTGTGGTCGGCATTGGATTCCCCAGAATGAAGGTGCGTCAATTAACAGTAATCAAGGAAATAACTCTAAATATTTCTTCATTTGTACAGAACTCACTGGAGAACTACACATTCTTGCCATTTAGCGTTTTCTTAGCCATATTTTGGATATTCACCTACAAGAAGGTTCCTGAGACCAAAAACAAAACCTTTGAGGAAATCTTGGCACTCTTCCGTCATAATAACGGCAGGTACGTAGCAGCTTCCATTCCATCATAGACTTTGCACACAGCTCACTGCGATTTGATAACTAGTTCTGAATATATAAACAAACATAAACAGAATAGATGCATATAATTCCCCAGAGCAGCTCAACCATATTTCCTCAAATCTAACCAAAAACTTTTCCTAAGTGTAACGAAATGCAGCGCAAAAGCTGTATCTTTCTTTCATTTATGTACTTGGAAGTTTATTATGCGGTGTGCATATAACTTGTATCTCATTGTGATGTTTCTTTGGATTGTATAGCCCGCCAGCTATGCGCCTAAGTTGTTAAATTTTGAAATTTATATCTTGTTTATTTTGTAACACATTGTGTTTTAACGACTGTATTGAAAATAATACCAACCATGTCCATTCTATGTATGCCCAAAACTGAATGACATTTCGAGATAGTAGACTGTACGGGTAAGTTGCATGAATTTAAGAGAAACTGACAAAAAAAATAAACTCCAGATCAAAGCTTAAACAAAACTACAATCTGAAGCGTTTCGCTCTATTTAAACGTAGCTCGTTTGCTGTACTTTATTAGTTCACTCTAAAGCAACTTTATTGTACATTTTAACTAATTAAAACAAAAAAAAAAAAAAAACAATAACAAAAAATAATGAAATTCTATGAAAACTTGCGCTCAAAGTTTCATACTTTTTCGGCATGTCTGCTTAACTTTGCCTGTTCTACTCGTTACTTTTGTTACAAATTACAAATTACAAACTACAATAAAAATAAAAACTACTACAATCAATTAATAGCTGGCTACAGCTCTCAAACTAATTAATCAATACAAGTTCATATTTAGCAATTTAAATATAAAAACTACTCAAATATTTAATACGAATTTAAATACTCTGTATACCCTTCTATTTAAATGCCATGTTTCATTATCAACCGTTTTGTAACTCTCTATCTATTTCTCTCATGTCACCACCACCCTAAAAATATTTGTTTATATATCTATATATATATGTATATATATATATATATATATAAGTCAATTCAATTTCTAATTCATGCAGCGCCCTCACATCTAAACAATCCCACTCCGAGTCTTTGTCCTGATTGCTCATTGTTCATTCTTAATAAATTGGTTAGTTTGAAGCACCACAAATTTTCAGTGTTAATAACAAAGCACAACAACAAATGACGAAACAAAAACACACAGACACACACACACACATATAATTTAACAACACATTTTGATTATGTTGCTTGTCCATTTAGTGGGGAGAGTGTCAACGGCAATGGCAACAGTAGCTCCACAGCGGACATTGAGATATCGCAACGTGACTCCAATGCAGCGCGAGCCAAAGTGCAGTAATGTAGGGCAGCTGTTGTACCCCGCACACGCCCACGCCCACATCCATGCCCACGCCCACGCCCATGCCCATGCTCATGCCCAGTTGCAATGTCCTTGCAAATTTAATTGGCATTTCAATGTGTGCACAAGGAAACAGTCGCAATCTCAACAGTCGGAAATCACATTTTTCTCAATTTCGCTCGAGTTTCGAAGTGGAACTGAACGGAAAAGTTTGTTTTTGACAGCTCTTGCGATTAGTCGTGCTTACTTTTAATTTATTTGATACGTTCTATTTTTAAGTTCTTATTTTGTTTTTCTATTGTTTATCTAAATAAATATTGTTTAATTTAATTGATTTGATTTGTTGTTTTTATTTGGTTTTCATGTAGTAACCGCGCCTAATAACTTCCAAGCCAGTTCAAAGATATGCTCTAAGTACTTTCAGCTGAGGGTAACTCAAATACACACATACAGACAGGTGTAGACAACACAAGGTCCCGATTTTGATCGCCCTACCTACTCCTCTCTGTAGGCGTACGCGTATTATGTCCAATGTCTCGTAATTGCTGTCATTAGTTTGCAAAAATTAAATTTTAAATACGTTTACACTTAAAACATAATCGTAGAGTGTGCGAATTTCAGGAGTATGCTAAACTGCACAAATAGCTTGGAGCCACAAAGTATGAATTCTGGCATCGAGCATGCCGCATTGATGGTATCTGAGGAGAAGACCCAACATGACTCACGTAAGAATTTTAAAAACGAATTACAAACTGCAAGCAAAATTCCAACTTACGTTCTTAATTTCAAACTATTATTTGTTGTGCAAATTGCTCGTTCAATCAAATAAAAATAAAAAAAAAAAAATACAAAAAAAAGTAAAAAATCAACCTAAAACACACCAAAGAAAACAAAACAAACACAATATTTACGTATCAATGTTGTCCAACAAACACAAATACACACATCCAACATAATGACCTCTAGGTAAACAGAATATAGATGTTTAGCTTGGCCTAACACAAAATATAAACTAACTTTTAACTTATACTTGTAAAATGTACACTAACCCACTCATATATACATTTATATATATATATATATATATATATATATATATATATATATATATATATATATATATATATATATATATATATATAACCATATATACATGTATATACTCTTATAATACATATAAATACCTACATATTCAACGTACCGCAATATTAGTTTTCAACATTGCGTATACGTAACGTTTGTATAAAAAAACACACACAAGCAGCGACATGGTGAAACTTTAAAAAAGGATACACTAAATTACGCATAAACACATACTTTTAATACTTAATTAGCAAACATTTCTCTTTGAATTTGTATTTTTAGTTCAATTCGAAAATTATTTTTACTCAGATCCACACATGTCAAGCCATTTTTATGTGTCTACCTCTTAAGCATGCAACATTGCATGATATTCATTCATAGTTCTATAATATTTATTCCTATAAAATTATTATACCCAAAATGTATTTTAGCATTGGTTGCAATTGTAGTTCTTATATACATTAGAGTTATATATATATATTAAATTATTTATCATGACTGACTGACTAACTGATGTTGGTCATGGCGCTGCCAAAGTGCTGGGATTTAACACTTTATAGAATAATTTTCGTTTGCATTAGCCATTGAGATAGAGCTAGCAATATATTGCACTTCCCAATTTGATAAATTAAAGCCCAACGACTATAAGAAAAGTATTTCACCGGTAGATATACACACTCATACATGAATATTGTTAGTAAAAGTGGGAGAAACTATGCAAACATTTTGAAGCTGAACACTTTCAAGTCCACCTAGGCCAACTAACTTGGCTAACTAACGAACATCTTTAGCTTTTGGAGAACAAGCTGTTAAAATGGATTAAGTCTCTACGAATCGAGCTTAGAGGTTTACGTTTTACTCTTTCTCTGTGTTCTAAAAACTAAGATCAATTAAAATATACAGAAATGTCATCTATTGGGTCTTAAAGCATAGCTTGAGACCAGTAGCGGGTTAGCGCCGAGCAACGCCGGCTAATTACAGCTAAATCCATTCACAAATTTTATAAATGCTTTTAGCTCATCTTTTTTTGCATGCTTGTTCTAATATTTTCTTTTAGCTGTTAAATTTTGGCTTTCAAATTTTCACCTATTAGAATACCTACGTATTTGAAAAATCGATATAATTTAACTATGCCATATTTTTCGTTTTTAACACATTCATACTAATCTGGGAATATTTGAATTCTGCTGCTTAAATTACAACCAAATCAAAAACATTCAAAATCAACGAATCGATTAATGTATTGGAAACCAATTAAATTATCAACTGGATTTTAACACAACTACAACAACAACAAACCTTCCAACACTCATATTATAAAATAATATCAATCTTCTGTATGTTACCGATTGGGAAACGTCACTGATCTATTGGCGACTGAATCTGAAAAATGCATGAGAAACAAAATCAAACCACCCAAACATGAATTTCTTGCAAAATATATACTAAAGTCTTTGGTACGACTTCGTTCTCGTTAACGGTTGAAGGCATGGGTCCATATCCGTTAAGTGATAGCACCAATCTCTTGGGTCCAACGTCGACGAGTTATACGAGCGGCGGTGTCGGTGGAGCCGGCTCCACAGCTTGCTATACAAACTACGGTACAAATATACAAACGCCAGTTCCTAATCGCAAATGCTACTACAATGAGTCTGACTATGGGCGAGATGATAGCTTTCGCAGGCACTCGGCGCATGGAAGAATGTCATGTAGGTTAACAGCAACTACTCATAAGAGCCTCCAAACCACATTCACAGACCCCCAATTAACCAATTTATAAGACACCAGCTATTGGGCCACCAGCCACAAAGCATTTACATGAAAATGCCAATGCCAATGCCGCGCGTGCCGCTTGGACAAGACTTTAAACACAATCGCACCCAGCTCGTCAGTTATCTAAATAATATCTGCTCGTATCACTAACTTTCTAGGCTAAGCTGCAACAAACTGCAGATGGTTCGAATTAATGTTGAGAACCATGGTTGATCAACTGCTTTAAATATATATATCATTTTTATTTGTTTGTTTTGTTTTTTATTATAGTACGCAAGTGAACGTGAACTTGGGACCTACCTAAACTATCAGCAATAAGATTGAATTGGCTAAGTAAACAACATCTAAAAGAAAGCACTTTAAGACTCCACTCTACTACATAAAGGGTGCCAATAATGCGTCTGAAAGTATTTAAAAAAAAACTGAGAATTATTGAATTCATGGCGATTATCAGAATTTTTTGATTAAAAATTGTTCGGAAAATAACGCTTCTACAAATCATATTTCATTTCATTAACATAAGTCATTCATTTGCTAATTACGTTTTTAGCTGCATGACATTCGCGCGAATCGTAATCCATTTACAAATTATAAATTGAAATACCTAAAAGCATGTGTATTATTGGCATGTACTTTTTGCATGCACTGTTAGTCTTAAAACCTAATACAACTAAATCCAGCCAGAAAACTAATGAACTAGCTAAAATAAATAAGAAAAATAAATCGAAATTAAATAAAGTTTTATTGGTAGCTCTATTAATTGCAAAATTTCTTTCGATTTTTATTTTACTTTTTTTTGGCACCTTTGCGCTTCTTGTAGCTGCATCCGAGCGATTTTTAGACGGCGGCCGAAGTACACACCAGGGCCGGAGCGCTGCCTCTGCGCCCCATCACCTTCGTCAGCAAGCACCTGCCTGCCAGAACAGCGGGCCTTGACTGAGGAACGGCTCACCTCCTGAAACTGCCAGTGTACATTCAACGAGTCGCGCTGAGGAGGAGCAACAGCAGCAGCATCAATCCTCCTCCTCCGCCGTAAACTCAGCCGCTGCAGTCGCAACACAGCCCCAGCATCAGCATCAACATCAATCCTGTTACACTTCACACGATTACGTGCATTGTAGCTATGAGAAAGATTTCGTATGTGATCAAACGCCGCCGCTAACATCGAACAACACCCAGCACAAGCATGAACCGCCCCAGCCACAGGAGGCAGTTGCCGTGATCTCACATTGCCATCAAACACAGCAGCCATCGCAGCGCAAACACAGCCACAGTCACAGTCCGCATCATAGTCGCCACACATCCCCGCACAGTCATCACTCCCATCTGGGTCAAAGTCAGGGTCAGGGTCAGGGTCAGAGCCACAGTCAGAAGCAGTCACAATCACACTCGCACCATCATCATCGCCGCCGACGTCGGCAGCACAGCGTCGCTGCTGTAGGAGGCAGCGGCAGCAGCAGCTTGCCAGGCGCCCACACACATCACTCGTCCTCCGGGGGCGGGCAGAGCACTTCGCGACATGTGTGCAGCAGTCGACGTCATCGCTCGGTCACGGATGTGTCCTGCAATTCGATCAACGCTTGCCAGGATGCAGTCTGTGCCGACCGTGAGGTGCAGGAGATAATGGTGCGTAAATCCTGCTGCAGTTCATCCCGTACGGAGCTGGCCCAGTACTTTGCAGAAGATCTGTATGGCACATCATCGCGTCGTCCCAGCTCCTGCTGCACCAGCTCTGACTATTGCTACCAAACGGACTCCACTAGTCTGTACGGCTCGCGTTCTTCCTTGAGCCGCAACAACTCCATAAAGTCCGCATCGGCCGCCATGCGCAAGCAGCACCGACTGCAAGCACGTCAACCCAGCTACACATCGATATCCTTGCGTGGCCTGAATGCCAGTCGTCCAAACAGTCAACTCGGCTCGCTGACTTCTATATTCGATCGAGCCAAGCAAATTGCCGACGAGAGCAACCATCTCGAGCAGCGTCTGGCAACGGTAACGCCCTCCCACAGCTCTACATTGGAGCGACACAGTTCGAAGGGCGCGCTGAGCAATGAGCTGCCCGAGTACGCATGCTCGCCATCGCCCATACGCTGGAGTTTTCTAGCCGATGGTAAATCGCCTACAGAATTAGAGCTGGAGGGCGCCGTTGGTGGTACTGCTGAGGCAGTGGAGGCAACCGCGGAGGATAAGATGGAAGCCTGGCATGTGCCCCAGCCGGAAATGAAGCCATGTCGCAAGATGACCAGCAACACGGAGACCAACAACTGGAAGAACACTCTATACGATGAGAGACCCAGTACCTCGGCAGCAGCACGCAAGCGACGCGGCAGCAGCTATCACTGCGAGTTCGAGGAGTCTACAACGATATTGTTTCATCAGGATCAGGAGGGCGAGGCGTACAACAACTGTTGCAACAACTACATACAATGTAACACCTATCTAGATCAGGATCTGCAAATAACCAGCGAGGACATACATCAGTATCTGTCTAAGGGCAATCCGATGGTTGGCGATGTGCTCAACAATTCCAAGAACTATCCATTTCAGCCTAGCAATGCGCTTGAGTTTCAGTACAAGAACAACTTTCAGCAGGGCAACAACAACACTAACAACAACACCAACACCACAAACACTGCTTCCAGCGATGCTGGCGAATGTTTCCAGCGCTATGAACGCAGCTATCAAGCCAGCTCCAGCAAGGAAACGAATCTGAATCAGAACACAAGTGGAGCCCAGGGCCCGCCTGAGCCATTGTCCCCCAGCAACATTAATCTGTCGAGCAGCAGCAACAACATCAACATTGTGTTTGGCAGCAACAACGGCCAGGAACGAAATGCTAACGAGGTGAAGTTCATCAATAATCGGGTGGGCGAACGAGATGGCGAGGCGTCGGTTAGCTCTGAAGCACATCACGCCGGATACCTGCCCTACACGTATCCCAGCTATGATTATTCCAACATGTCTGGCAATTCACACTTCGAAAAGCCGCTGGCCATTGATGAGCTGCCCAAGGAGTTTGCTGGCATTCATTTGGATGGCGGCGGCTCTACGACCAGCGAGCACTCGTCGTCATTGCACTTTGACTCCTTTGATAACGCCTCGGAGCAAAATTTGCTATCGCAGCCAATGTCGCCTGGGTCACCGGCATCGGTTTCAGTCAATCCTGCCGGCGATGGTTACATGCACCACGCCCACTTTGATCAGCATCAGCCGCATTATCATGGCCAGTACACGCATGCGCATCACTTGCACCCACATATGCACAGCCACGCCCATGCCCATGCCCATCACAGCACCAGCACCAACAACAGCACGCATCTCTATGGCACCCACGGCCTGGCCGAGGACCAGTTCCGGCTGGGCAACGCCCTCAAGAAGGTGCGCAAGCGTGCACGCAAATACACAGACTTCCTGCGCAAGAAGTGAGCCGAGATCGTGAGCCAGACTTCTGCTGATTAGCCTTACTATTCCCATCTCTAGATTCGCCCTACTTTGGCCGAAAGTATGTGGTCGTCTCGAAGTCGCAAGCGATGCAGCCGCGACGCTCGCAAAGCTTGGATGAGGATTAGCTGTGGATGGACCATTCAATTGCATTTTCAGCTCACACTTTTCAAAAAGCAATAATTAAACATTTTTCGTAGACACACACAAAAAGCGCGAAATTAATAAATAACTTAAATTTGTACACTGCCAAATGATAAAGAAGATTAAAATTAATGTTTATTTGTGGTAAGCTAAATTGTATTGTGCGATATACAGACAGACAGACACACACACACACACACATACATACACACTAAAGCATATTAAGTCATTCAAATACGGCAGCCAGCTACCAAATAACAAGAAGAACAACCACAACAACGACTATTTTAAAAATACCTAAGCTAACAGTGCGTATACATGATAAGGATGAAAATTTGTATATTCAACTTAAATATTAAGAACAGGTTTTGAATTTGCATATTTAACTTAAAGATAACAAAAACAAAATGAAAACAAAAAATCAGAAGCAAATGGAAATAATAATGCACAACTACCAAAGTATAGTTTTAAAACAAAAACAAAATGAAATGAGAAGAATTAAACATCTTTAAATAATTATTTATTAGAGTTAAGTGATCGACGGAGCGCTACGAGATTTAGAGTTTCAGCAAATGCAGTAAGAATAACAACAAAATATTAACTATTTAACTACTACAAAATTATTAACATATGCAAGCAAAACAACTGTAGCAGACACATACAAATGCAAAGCTATTGAGCATTCCACTAAATCAGTAAGTTAATCTTAGATATTGCATATAGGAAAGTGATTTTTGTTGTTGTTCTTTTTTTTGGAATTATTTACAATTTGATATGCGAATTTTTGTGGTTGGTATGGAATTACACAAGTTTTTTCAGGGAATGCTTGCAATTTATGTATAAGCAATATGCCGTTTTGCTCAAAGGAAAATTAAACACTTTATTCTATCTTAAAATTACGAAATTTATTTTCAAATTAAATTAAGATTTATTTCGGTTTTCCCTACATTTTGTCGTTTTTTTCTTGTTTTTGCAAATTTATTGATTGCATGGATCCCAACAACTGTCTTCCAATTGTATTTGATAGAAATATTATAGTTTGAATTTGTTTAAATATAAACAATTTACATATAATTATTACACACACATATAATTTGAATAAATTATTAAATCGAACGTACCTTGCGTGACAAAAATAAATATATAAATAAATAAATGAAAAATTAATGGTAAACAAATGACGAAGAACTGTAAATATTTGCTGTTAGTTAATCATTAAATTAATTTACTAATAAATTACAAACTAAATCATATAATTTGTAGTTATTAGCTGTAATCATTAAAAATAGGTAACCCGGAATAATAAATATAAATGCACTGCCAAAAAGGTTTTATAAAAGTAAAAACAACAAACAAACAACCACAAAATAGATCGAAGATGAGAGTATATAAGGAGGAAATCATACGAACAAGGAGATGATAAAACAATAACTGTTGTAAATATAAGAATGAATACATATAGAGAAAATCATAGACATTTTTTAATGGCACATTAAATAACGAGGAGCATGCGACTTGCAGATTTTTTACATTATTTTAAAGAACTAAGTAAAACAACAATAAATGAGTTAAAACAAATTCTTAAAAACAAAAACAACAAAACAAAAAGCCACGCGGCAGCGATTTTGTAGCAATATCAAAAGGAAAAATGTTAACATTGCATAAATTTAAAATGAAATAGAAAATTAAAAATATATAAAAGCCAAAAAGAGAGCATGCGCTAACTCGATTGCGAAACGATGTTAACTGGTTGTGAGTTTGAATGGATAAACAGCCGAGATACTGTCGATCGGGGGAGTATCTTGGATGCATATCACTTGAGCCGAACTAGTCAAATGTTGTGTGCATTATTCTAATGCAAATGTACATAAATACAATTGGAAACCCAACTTAGTTAATTAACGCCCATACAACTAAATATTCACACGCAATGAATTAACTATGCAATTTAACGAAAATTAGTTCATAACAACAATAACAGAAACCAATTAATGAAGCATACAATTTTAATGTTCACTGAATACAAAAATTAAACACCGTGAAGTTCGCGTAAACAAAAAGAAAAACTAAAACAAAATTAATTTAAAACAGAAACAAAACAAAACAAAAGAGAAAACAATTTATGATAATCATACACAAAGTTGATTGCAAAACACAACAAAAATAAAAGAGAAAATATTTAAACAAAAACACAAAGGACAAAACCAAACTAACAGAAGCGATTAGACAGAAGACATAAAATTAAAATAAAATGTGAGAGCCGTTTGCAGAATATAGCTGAAAACTTATACCCTTACGATTGGCCCATAGACGAGATGGTCGAAGAGGTCAAAAGGATTCCCAGTTCAAGGTGGTTTAATTTGTATTTTTCTTACAAGTTTTTTATATTTGTAATATGATTTCAAGGTGGATCATAGACGATAGATACAGTTAATTCAATATGTTCTAGCATTTGTCATAACAATATATAGTTGTGTACATAACTATTTAAAATGATGTATTACCATACCAGGACAGTTATCTTAAGTATATAAATACATGATAAATACTTATAAAGGTGAATAATTAGGCACAACTATACATAGCCACACTTACACTTTCTCTCACACACACACACACACATGCGCACACAAAATATTAGACAAATATGAGTTTGCGTTAGTTAAAAAAAAGGGCAATGGAAAATAATAATTAATGATATAATGATATACAATAATAAACTTGAACTAGGTATGTAATTATGAATTTACATTATTTTTAGCAAAACCAAAAATTACAAATTTAAAAACCAAAACAAAAGAAGAAACAAAAAAATAATAAAAACTCTAATACCAATTAAATGCAAGAAAAAAAACTTATTGAAATTAAATTGATGAATTAAGTAAATAATTGCTCAATTTAGCAAAGAGTATAAATAAAGAATTATACGTTAAGTAATAATTTCAAATAACAACGCCTTTCACTTAAGGGTATAGACGGGAACATGTAGCGTTAATAATACATGAGTCGGACTTAAATGGCGACAAAATGAGTTCAGAAAAGACCTCTGGATCACATGGTAGCTAACTCTGGGTCTGCAAATGAGGAATCGGCCATTAACTCATTTTATGCACATTGAGCGCAACTTCAAAAATTGTTGATGATGTGAAATACATTGGCATTCATAGGTTGTGCGGCTTTTAATAAATAATAAATAGAGCTTTTCCTGGGTCAAGGATATCTAGATATTCATATAGACTATGTCAATAAGTCTTAACGTCAAATAGGTAATATGAATCAGAGAATTCAACTTCAATTCGAAATTAAGGATGCGCATGTAAGGCCAAATAAATACAATTCATAAACTTATATCGCTATCGATTTCAATATTCTTAAATTATCGCCACTCCCATAATATACTCCAATATTTTTGCCATGAGGGTGCGATTGGCAGCGCGCATGTGCAAATCACGTCAAAATGTTCGTGGATGACAGTTCCTGACTGCGACTGGTGTATGTACCTCAAGTGGGCATGTCAAGGGAAAAAAGCTGAGGCGAAGATGAAAATTTAATCTACAATAAAATATGTTGACTGCCTTGCGTCGCAAAATTCGCCTAGGAATGCAGCGAACGGTTCTTATAGCGGTCCTGTTGGCGGTTGGCGTCTTCAGCTATGCCTTCCTCAATTTATCCTTCTGCTTTAAACTGATGTCGCACAGGAGCCTCACGCACATGGTAAGAAAAATGTAATTTATACGTTTGCCGTATATCTGTTATAATTGAATGATAGTGCCAGAAGTATGAGCATCACGAGTTTAGTGGATCACTCTGCGAGGAACTGTGCAGCAGCCAGACGGCATTCGACAACTTTCAATGCCCGCTGAATGATATGAAAACGATTTTGTTTACTGCTGAAAAGAATGGCGACATGCTCGCCGTGAAGGTAGGTCAGTTTGATATTAGCTTTTCAGTTGTCATGACTACAATACCACTGCAATGCCGGTAACTAGCTGGCGAAGCACAACGACGACGACTTGAGTTGGACGAACAGCAAGGGCGAGGCCATTTATCCCAAAATCGAGGAATTCCATGAGATAGTCAAGCTGCATATCATACTTGCCTACAATGTGACATTAGATGATAATATGGTAAGCTTCCAAAGTTCTCATACGAGTTCACAGTTAACTTTGTTCATTTATAGATACGTGCCCTGGTCAACCAGGAGATTGCCGATAATAACGCACAGCAAATGGTAAGCTTTTGGCGATTGTTTAAGGACAACAATTATATGATGGGCAAACTTTTTGACGAGGACTCCGTGTTTCCGGCTGTGCTGGGCTCCTGTGGCCCTTACTATGCCACAGAGGGCTTGGAGATCGTGCAAGCCAATCCCAGCATCATTCAGTATCTGTGAGTAAATGGGAAACATTTGATTCGTATCTGGCTAAACCTTTTATGTGTGCCTGACAGCTCGTCCAATCGACAGCAGCGCCTAAAGCATGCTCTCAGCATCATGGAGTACATATTTCGGCTGGAAGAGATGAAACCTGAGCCGCTGCGAATGTGCAAGATGCAGGTGAATCGCTTTGGACTCACACCTGACAGACGTCTCAAGTACCAAAGCGCGGAGCATGTCTATGTCGAGAGTTATCTGGACAAACGTATATCAAATGGCGTTAAATGCCATACCAATCTTGACTGTAGTTTTCACTCGTGTCGTGGATTGTGCGACGCAGAGCGTCAGGCCTGTACACATATCCAGCAGAACAACAACTTTCAAATATTCTGCGAGCATGTCCTCTTGGGTAGCGGAACCTTTCAGCCAGGTCTTCTGAGTGGTATACGCTTGCCGCGTTCGCTGCAGAAGCTTGTGAAGATGTGCGTGCAGCCGCCGAAGGAGCATCAGGTGCCAGAACGTCGCCAGGCGCCGAGTCTCCAGCTGGCTCTCAGGCTTTACAATGAGTTAAAGCAACTGCTGCAGGCAGTAATCACGGCTTCCGGCTCGGACTCTGAGGTGGAGAGTCAGAGCTCACGGCATAGGCAGCAAGGAGGCGCTTAGAAGGGCAGGATGCACATGCAATAGAATTGGTAACTCCTCCTGATGACTTGCTCAACAATTGGTAGCATTTTTACAGAAAATAGTTTTAATTAATTAACAGACGTAGAATAACATAAATAAAAGATTTTTTAACACATGATAACACAACTCAGTTGTTTTGGTTTTGTGTTTTTTATTTTCGTTTTAAATTGTCATAAATTATTGTTAAGTTGAAACAATTTGTTTCTCTATTGTTAAGCTTGCCGATGAATCTTGTTTTTTCTGCAACTTATTTCGAGTTCACATTGAAAATCAATTGCCCTCGTGGGCTTTTCATACTTGAATTAAAATTTCGTTCTTTGAAAGTGCTCAAAAGTGTATTCCAAAAAGAGCTACATAAAAGTGTTGATTAGGTTTTATCACAATGACATTTCAAATTTTAAATTTTTATATGTATTTATTATTTGTTTATTTTGCCTTGTATTTTTGAAAAGTACAGCGTGCATATGCCTTATTTTTAAAATGTATTTTAATTAGTTATCCCTCTTAATTTTTACTGGATCAACTAATATCTTCTTTTTTTTACAATAAGTTAACTTTTTATTTTTCCGGCATAGATTGTTTTATATTATTTGTTTGCGTTTTTATACTCTTTTGCATAGGCAACTTTAGTCAATTATTTTAGTTTTCTAAGGATTCTACCTGTAACAGAAGTTTATACAGAGGTTGTTCAATTGTTAAATTGTGGCAGATATCGAACGAAATAGTTTCGTGTTTTCCTTTTCTTTTTTGTTTTCGCTTTTAATTTGTGTTATAATTTATATTTGTTATATGATTTTGGGCGCTTAGCATAATAAATAATTTTTAGCGCTTCGTTAAAGCCATTTCCAATTGTTTATTACAATAATCAAGATGTTTTTAAGTAAATTATAAAAGAGTAGAAAAATCTAATAGATATCGTAATTTGTTGTTAGTACACATAGTTCGTTTTGCAAAAAGTGCCCTAGCGCTCAAAAATTATTACATTTTTGTTGTAGATTTTATTCATTTGTTAATTGAGTTTTTGTTTGTTCTCTTTTTTATGCAATTTCTTATTTAAAGTACATACATTTTTCTCTCAATATAATTTCTAAAAACATAAGTGTAGCGGTCGACTTAAATTAAACTCGAAAAGGATGCGGACTTCTTAGTCAATTGTAATGGGGAGCGGGTATTGGGTAGATGATTTAAACGTACCGAAAATATGAACTGCCTGTCTAATTGTAAATTTTTAAAATGTCAAAATGTGGAAGTGCAAATAATGTGTGTATATGTGTTTATGGTGTGTGTCGCTTTGTGTGTCTCTGTGTGTATGTGTGCATGCGTATGTATGTGCTTATTCTTCCTGCATGTGTCTTTATGCCGTTGTTGGCGACGCTGCTGCGGATGCTGAATTAGCCAATATGGGCGGGTGGGTAGCATTCACTACACGACCCGGCGTGTGGGCATTCTCCAACGTCTTCGAGTGCTGCAGCTGCATCAAATAATGCTGCTGGGTGGGCTTGTGCAGTGCCAGCTGTGACAGAGCATCATCAATAGTAAACCATTGGCGCTTGCGTCCAATGCTACGTGAATCCTCCCATTCATCGAGTTCTTGAGTCACGTTCATTACGAATACCTCGGTACGATGCATATGGTCGTTATTCTATAAAATATCATAAATATATATTTGCTAAATGAAACTAATTATTTAATTCCTCGATACCTCAAAGACACCCAAACAACGTCCCAAGCTGCCAACAACGCCTGCCTCCTCCAACACCTCACGGACGGCGGTGACCGAGGGCTCTTCTTCTGGCTCGACACCGCCGCCTGGCACAATCCACAGTTCTGGACGGCGCGAAGAGGTCACCAGCAGAACCTGTAATACATTTAAAGCTTCTATTATGCTATACGAAATTTAATGTCTGATTGATTTTCAAGACTTTTTGAGGAGTAATGAAATCTTATTGTGGGAATCGAACTAAAATATCAAAACTTACCTCCGCTTCGTTATCGGCTCGCACACAAATGCAGGCAGCTCGCCGTCTAAAACCATCCTTATCATAGATGCGTGTCGAGTTGGGCTTTTCCTTGACCATCTGAAAGTACAAAGATACGATTAGAAAGTCGACAAATCAGCGAATACTCGTAACGATTGGGGTTATAATTCACTATATCTTATCATTTTATTACTGTCGCGTTTAATTTGAATGTGCGCGCACATGAGAATCGTGATTCCGTCTTATCAGACATTCGCTTTAGAGTCCGCCGGTAACTGCAGCGCCGGCTTATCAACGATTTATTTATGTACGTCGTGTGTGCGTGTGCTGGGTACCGTTTGCCGTTTATGAATTAGCCGTGTCATGAATGATGATTGAAACACATTCGCAAACATCTGGCTGCTTACCTTTGCGTTTTATATGTGCGGCGACTGATAGCCGACTGCTTAGGCACTTAATGAAGAGACAGCCGCCTTGACGTCCCTTTTCTATCTCTCTCTCTCTCTCTGTTTTGATCTCTCTGTAGCTCGCTCGCTCCCTTGTTCGCTCACTCTCCGTCTCTTCCTTTTGCTGCGTTTGCAACAAGTGTGTTTGTGTATGTGTGTTTCTGTTGTTGCTTTTTTCGCTATGACAGCTGCACCGGGAGCCGGTCGCTGGTCTCGTGCCGTTTTTGCAGGTGCTTTTTGTTGGCTGCTGCGTCACAGCAAATAAACTGTTGTATGCCCGATTCGTTCGTATGATAGCTGTACGTGTCACTGTGTAGGTGTGTGTGTCTGTGTGAGTTTTGTATGTTGCTGTAGTTGTTGTTGTGTAGTAACGAAAAAAGAACTGCGCGTCGGATGGTTTAAAAGAGATGTGGGGAAAGCGAGAACAGAAAACTTGTTGAAATTAAAACGAGTACAAGAATGAAGAGGAAATAAAGCGCAGACAGGGCAGAATTATTTAACTACTTTGCAGTGGGTGCATGTTGTTGTTGTTGTTTTTTTGTTTTTTTTTTTTGTTGAGTGTGTGTATTTTAGTTGGTGCTTGCGTTCGAATTGGGATTGTATTTGTGTTCGAGTTGGGTTGTTGTTGCTTTTGTTGTTGCTGTTGTTGTCGTTGCTGTCACTGCCTTTGTCCTGCTTTCAGCTGATATTTGGATAGTCGCAGTTGCTGTGTTGCTCAATTGTAAGCCTAGCCGGAAACTTTTCGCAATTTGTTGAATTTGAGCGAGACCGACGCACAGCTGGGCCTTATCTGAGCACGAAACATGCGTTTTCCATTTTCTCGCTCCAAACACGCCCCGAAATTGTGATGAATAGCCGCGTTCGGCAGACAAACACACGTGTCACGCCTTGAGCACCGTTTTCTATTTGCACTGTTACGATTTGTAGCTGTTAGCAACTGCTAGAAGTTCACAATTTTAACAATTTCACGAATGTTGCATCGGCGAACAGCTCGACAAAGAGGAGGATGCAAAAAACAGTGTTACCTCTCTTAATAAAACGAAACAACCACAAATTGTAGCAGTTGGCAGCCCCATGCAGCAGTTGGCAACGCTATATTCAATGGTTGGCAGCACTGAATACTTTACATGCAGGAAACAACAGATGGCGGTAGTTCAACCGGTAGATGGGGCAATAATTGTGAAATTTAAAAATGCTATTTTGGTTTAGTTTGAATGTAAAATAATCAAATTATATAGAAACCCAATTTTTCACGGAGATCTCTTCAATAAATAGACTGTAGCCATTAAATATCCCATAAGCCATTGGTTACATATTATAATAATTTATAACAATTTATATTGTCAAAATAGTTGACTCTATTGACAATGTTAATAAATTCTACTTACCTTAGTGAATCTGAAGATGGAATATTCTGTTATTATTTCAAGTGATACCCAATGCCCTCAGCTAGTCAGCGATACTTATCGATAGGCAGCTATCGAAATCGAAAAAAATCTACTTGGTGAACGCGATAAGAAATAAGCAAGATATTCTAAGTGAGTCGAAAGCTGCATTTTCTATATATCAACGATTTTATCAGTCTGTATTTATCAGTTCGATTATCAATGATGTACAGTAATATATTCCCTGTTATTATGATTATCATATTTAACAATTTATCGATATATATCGATAGACATATTAATATTGAAACAGATATGTAAACGACTTTATTTTCCACCTATTCACATACAAAATTAGCAGTTTCAATAATCCTCATACAACAGGTATCGATATTTATCGAATCGCTTACAGCGGCCATTTATATGGAATTAATATCAGCTTTAAGGTCGTCAACTGGCTGAAAAGGCTAAGAAATGATTTACTGCCGCAATGCAAGACGTTACTTGAGCGCCTGCCAAAAACCAAATGGCAAAGTCAAAAAAAAGGGCGTGGCAAATTTTATGGGCTGGGCGCCTGGAGAATTTGCTTTGCATTTGTTGCAGTTGCTGAGCTCTTGGTTTTGGTTTTTCGGCTGTAAGCTTTTAATGCAACTACTTAGCGTAGGATAACTGAAGGCCCCATCTGGGAGGGCGGGCCGCTCGGTGGGTGGGTTGCTGGGAGGGGCCCCGTGTCCTTGGCTAGCCTTTAGCATTTACTGCCAGCTTTGGCTTTGCATTACAGTCGCGACACATTGGCTGCGTGGCCCGTGTCCCGTGTCCTGCGTCCTGGTTCTGGTCTTGTGTCCTCCGTGCTGCGTCCTGTGTCTGTTGCTCTGCCGCTTTTTGCTGCTCTTGCAAAGCAAATTGCTTATTTCTTAATGCATTGCCATTTCCTTTTGGCTTTCTTAGACATTTTCAGATCTACTCTCTCTCTCTCTTCCTCTGTGCTGCCCATGAATTATGAGCTTCATTTCTTTCTTGGGTGTTTGGCTCAACGTGCTCATGCAGAAGTGTTAAACTGTTTAACACGCGTTTTTCTCGCTCTTTGGCTTTTGATTGCGTTTAAATTTTGACATCGAATTCTTAATTTTGCTCTTTCGCTTTTAGCATACGAATTAATTCAGCGCCGATCAATAAATTGCAAATAGTAACTTTTTTCTGGCTTTTTTAGTCTGTCTGGCTCTCTGCCTCAGCGTGCGGCACGCTTTGTTGCACATCACTTCAAAGTCGTAATTTACAATAGGCGTCCTTTTGGCGCGCAAACTTTTTCTATTTGATGCGTCCGGCGACCACAATCAAGTGCAAAAATTTTCAATTTACTGGAGCTGCCTTGTTGCTGAACTGGCAATGGGCATTTGCTAGCAGCGCTTATCAATAATTACAAAATATTCGACTTCAAATATTATTTTGAGCTCACAAAGTTGCTTAATTCAAAGACTCAAGAACTACCTGAACGATTGACTGATTAACAAACTGTTTATCGTTCTTGCGAGTGAAACTTCTAAGAGGATTTTGCACCTTTCAACTAGAGTGCCTCCTCAGATATATCATCTATCTTAATACTCTGCTAGTTCCAGATTCTTAAATTTAATTTAGTTGATGTGTGTTCTATGAGATCCCTGGCCTAATTGCAAACATCTTTCTTAGTATTGGAAAACCTGAGGAATTCAAATGCTAAACCAATTATTATAAATTGTTGTGCTATACATACATATATATTTTATATATGTCAGAAGTTATGCAATGACCCGTACCTCCTTCACTCCGATACACAGCTAGAGTATGAGAACATCAATATCACCTAAGCTATTGCACAGATCTGCATTGACCCTCTGTTTTTATATATACACACATATTTATTAATTGGTGTTGCTTTCTATAGTTTCAAAGATATATTAGTTTGGTAATAAAGTAACCAAATCTAATCTTCTGATTGGAAATTCATAAGCTGACTTGATACTTTTTCATTCATCAGACCCTTTTCATTAAAGAGCGGCTATTAAAATGATTCATTCATAGAATATTCTACTGAAAAGTATAAAATTGTAGTTCTAGTTGCTACTCCGATATCTTCTTACATCTGGATCCCTCTCAAAATTCGCTCAATGTGCGCTCTGGCGTTACGTATACGACATGTTGTACGGCATTGCGACACTTACTGCTAATTGAGTGGCAGTCGAAATTCAATCAGTCTGGTCTCATTCAAAACCAATTCAAAGCTGCTGACTGCAGTCCTGTCGCAGGTGTTGATCCTGTCATTAATTTGCTATCGCTGTCATCAGCAGCCACAGCAGTTGCTGCGCACGTGCTCAAAATGCTCAATAGAACGCGGCTCGGAGAGTTGGCGGTTGGCGGCTGGCGGCTGGCGGCTGGCGGTTCGCATGCTCGGCCATGCTGGCTGGGCAACATATTGTTTCATTTTGGCTTTCTCCTTCTGAGTGCCCCCAAACAAAGGCTCACCTACGATTGCAATTTGGCAACAAATTCGCAAAACAGACAACAGCAACAAGCAACAAGCAACAACAGCAACTACAACAATGAACAGAATTATACAATTTATGCGATTTACGAGCTCCGGCAGTTCCTTCGGTCCAGCTCCAGCTTCAGCTCCTGGTTCTGCTCCCGGTTCTCAATCCTCTTTTGCCCTTTTTGCCTCGACAGCCGCAAAACTATTTCTATTGCTGCGACGCCGTCGCTTTTGCCTTTGCCTTTGCCTTTGCCTTTGCGTTTGCCTTTGCCACTGCCATCGCCACTGAGCAAGGATATGCCGTATTTCCGTTTACATAATAAATTTGCTAACCACGTTCTGTCGGCGTCGGGACCTGGCCCTGGCTAGCAGCTCCACCAGCGCCGCCGTCGCTTGGCATCAAGTGCCTGCGGTTGGCAGTTTTGTTTCTTTTTTCTTTCAGTGTGTCTTATTGTTGTTTTTGTGTGTCGCCATCGTCCGGGGCACCTTGCAGTGCCAGTTGACAAAAGGCGGCACAAAAAAATTGGACAGCAGCCGCAGCCGCAGCCGCAGTCGCAGTCGCAGCAGGCGTTTGAATTGAGTTCTGCGTTGCTTTTGGTCGGTTTATAAACTTTAACTTGGACGTAACAGCACAGCGCAGCACAGCATATTGTGTCGCTGGCAAGTGTCGCCTCCACCTGCTGCCAACTCCCGCACCTGCCCCTGCCCCCTGCGCCATTTCCTTGCCAGTTGATTGACGGAAGTCAGCGGCGGCAACAACTTTTGCTTAATCATTGGGCGGCGTTCGCCTTGCCTCTAATTAATCTATTAAATGCAAACCAGAGACAGCGCCTACAAAAAATGCGTCGTCGAGGAAGTCATCTTGCAGTTGCTGGTTGGCCAGCTCTCGCTGCAGCCAGTCAAACTAGCTGCTTCCGTTTTCCGCTGGAAGTGAAATCTGTCAGCGGACGTCATAAAAATGCCAAAAGGCGTACAACACAGCAAAACCCTACGGCTGCCTGCTGTCAACTGTTCTGGCCATGAGCGCTTATCGATAATAGTTAGAAATTAGATTTTTTAATACTTAGCGCCCAATGCGAAATCTTTTCCTATCTTCAGTCATTTTCCTTTTCCTTTATAAGATGAGTTATTCACATTGCAAATTGCATTAAATGTATATCTCCACAGGTTCCACAGACTCAAGTTTGAAAATTTACTATTCTTGGAGTCCTGCAACACTTTTGAATTCTGCATCAATATGAAATAGTTCAAAGTGGAATCTTCTTAAAATACGCTAATTGTATTGCGCTTCTAGCAGTGGGTATGAATTCAGTTTGCTTTTTCTTGTAACATTGTCAATCTTATTCCGAGTATTTTCTGATATTCAGAAATAGTTTTAGTAGTTTGCATAGTTGTTGTCAGGTGTCCGCTCTTCTATTGACGTTTCCCTCAACTCAGCTTCAAGTCACTGGAGTAGCTTCTTTCCCAGCCAAACTTAGCAAGTGTAGAGTAAACTTTTTCACTAATCTAATTATATTTAGAACATAATTCAGCTCAAGGCTTAAATTATTGCAATTGTCTGCAGCATTAGGCATCAGCAGCCAGTCAGTATATGACTATCAGGGCAATCTGTCATGTTTATTAAAAGAAGTAATGTAAAAGAAGTCTTCAGCAATACAACCTGAAAAAGAAAATTAAGTTGAGCATATATTTATAGCTATATCACAAATAATTTATTGTAGTTAAATCAGGCTGGCAGCTAGTCTGTAGCTAGGCTGGTTTGTAATGAGGCGCCCTTCAATTTATGGAGCAGTGGTGAATGTGGGCACTGGCTACGCCCACTTGGAGGTGCCGCAGGTTCCTCGTCAGCTGTCGCCGTGGGGTAGGTTCAATAACCCGCGGCTGCTGAGTGTGCGACGCGCTGCCTGCCGCCTCTGCCTCTGGTCTGGCACCTCTGCCAGCTCTGCCAGCTCGTCCCGCTGCTAATGGCTTGCCACACTTTACATTAGCGTCACAATTTATTGGCCGGCTGTTGATGCCAATGCTGCTGCTGCTGCCGCTGCCGCTGCTGATGCTGCTGGATTCGCTGCGCCGGCTGGTCGTGACGTGGTCGTGGGTTGACTGCCTCTCGGCCCACTTGGCCGTATGCTTTACGCATGCTTGGTAGCTAAAATGGTCATAATAATAATAAA